GAAGATAAGAAGAAGAAGAAGAAGAAGAAGAAGAAGAAGAAGAAGAAGAAGAAGAAGAAGAAGAAGAAGAAGAAGAAGAAGAAGAAGAAGAAGAGGAGGAGGAGAATAGCAGCAGTGCTAGAAGGGAGTGGGGTTTGTAGGAAAGAGGAAGAGGATGAGGAGAAGAAAAAGGAGGAAGAGGACTCTCAGAGCTTGGTGCTTTTCTTGCAGATGTTTCATTACCCAACTAGGTATCATCCTCAGTTTCAGATGACCTTCAGAGCCTCTGTTTTGTCCCACTTTCTAGCTTAGGTGGCTTCTTAATGCATGAAATTGTTGTGTGCAGGACATCTACAGAACATGCAGCCATTAACAGTGAGGCTGCAACGTCCCTCAAGAATTGCACGTACACCCAGGACAGGGGCCACAGGGTCAATCTATTAGCAGTTTGCTCATCTGTGTACAGCCTGCGGAGATCCCTCAGGTCGTCTCGGTGGCTTTCCAACACAAGTCCAAAGCCCTTGGATTGACCACCAAGGCAGTCAACTCAAGCTACTGGACCTCTCCTCTCCCTCCCCCTGCCTCTTCCACATGGATGGTTGGAGTTGCACAAGGAGGGCTGAGTTGTCAGCTGCGACCTGCTCCTGAATGGAGTATCTTGTTTCTCCCACAAGAACGGATCTCAGCAATTCAGGGGGACGAAAATGGTGGCCCTCAGGGTGGTGCTCAGCTTCCTCAGAGGTTGGACAACAGGACCCCTTTGTAGTCTAGAAAGAGTTACAAAGATGATTACAGGACTGGAGGCACATCGTGCGATGAATGGTTGCAGAAACTAGGTATACGCAACCTAGAATTAAGGAGAAACTTCCTAACAGTGAGGACAATTAACCCTGTGGAACGGCTTGCCGTTGTGGGTATGGCCAGTCTAGAGACAAGAAGGACGGAGGGGGGGGGGGAACAGTCTTCCAGTATTTGAGGAGGGAGTCAAGCTATTTTCCAAAGCTCCTGAATGCAGGACAAGAAACAATGGTTGGAAACTGACCAAGGAGAGAAGCAACCTGGAATTAAGGAGAAACTTCCTAACAGTGAGGACAATTAACCCTGTGGAACGGCTTGCCGTTGTGGGTGCTCCATCCCTGGAGGTTTTCAAGAAGAGATTGGACAACCATTTGTCTGAAATTGATATAGTGTCTCCTGCTTGAGCAGGGGGTTGGACTACTAGAAGATCCATGTTGAGATGTTGAGACCGTAGAAAGAGTCCAAAGAAGAACGACTCAGATGATAATGGTCTGGAGGTTAACCCATATGATCAGGGGTCTTCAAACTTGGCCCTTGTATGATTTGTGGACTTCAACTCCCAGAATTCCCCAGCCAGCGTGCCTGGCACGCTGGCTGAGAAATTCTGGGAGCTGGAAGTCCAGAAGTCATAAAAGGGCCACATTTGAAGACCCCTGCATATGATGAACAATTGAGGGAACTAGGTATGTCTAGCCATTGGAGAGAAGGACGAGGGGTGACATGAGAGCAGACTTCCAATATTCAAGGGGTTCTCTCAGAGAAGAGGGGGGGTCCACCTATTCTCCAAAGCACCTGAGGGCAGGACAAGAAGTAACCGATGGAAACTAATTGAGGAGAGATCCAGACAGGGAGAACAATTGATCAGTGGAACGACTTGCCTCCAGACGTTGCAGGTGCTCCATCGCTGGAGGTTTTCAAGAAGTGATTGGACAGCCATTTGTCCTGAATGTTAATCTAGGGTCGCCTGCTTGAGGAGGTGGTTGGACTAGAAGACCTCCAAGGTCCCTTCCAACTCTGCTATATTGTATTCTGCATGCTTATCACTTTGTCCAGGTTTTTGCTTGATGGAGACCTTATAAAAACAGCAGTTATCTAACATCTGTCCTGACATGACAAGAAGGTAAGGAGACCGACCACCAGGCACGCTGGCTGAGAAATTCTGGGAGTTGAAGTCCACAAGTCATAAAAGGGCCAAGTTTGAAGACCCTTGTGATAGGTGATAGATAGGTGACAGATAAATGATAGATAGATGATAGAGATAAATAGGCTAGATAGAGAGATAGAGTAGATGGATGAGAGAGAAAGATGATAGATGACAGACAGACAGATAAACAGACAGACAGACAGATATAATAGACCAAAGGTCTTCAGACTTGGCCCTTTCATGACTTGAGGACTTCAACTCCCAGAATTCCTCAGCCAGGCATGCTGGCTGAGGAATTCTGGGAGTTGAAGTCCACAAATCACAAAAGGGCCAAATTTGAAGACCCTTGTGATAGGTGATTGATAAATGATAGATAGATGATATATATATAAATAGGCTAGATAGAGAGATAGACTAGATGGATGAGAGAGAAAGATGACAGACAGACAGGCAGGCAGACAGACAGATATAATAGACCAAAAGTCTTCAAACTTGGCCCTTTCATAACTTGTGGATTTCAACTCCCAGAATTCCTCAGCCAGGCATCCTGGCTGAGGAATTCTGGGAGTTGAAGTCCACAAGTCGTAAAAGGGCCAAGTTTGAAGACCCCTGTGACAGGTGATAGATAGGTGATAGATAAATGATAGATAGATGATATATATAAATAGGCTAGATAGAGAGATAGACTAGATCGATGAGAGAGAAAGATGACAGACAGACAGGCAGGCAGACAGACAGATATCCTCTGCGTTCATTGCACACTCCTTGATTGGGCAGTGATTGATCCAGGAAAGATAACATACAGGTAGTCCTCGACTTCAATGACCACAACTGAGGCCCAATTTTCTGTTGCTCAGCTTTGCCCCATTTTACGACCTATCTTGATGTGGTTGTTATGTGAATCGCGGCCGCTGTTAAGTGAGGAACATGGTTGTTAAGTGGATCTGGCTTCCCCTTTTGACTTTGCTTTTCTGATGGTCGCAAAAGGGGATCATGTGATCACTGGGTCACGTGATCAGTTGCCAAGTGGCGGTTTTGATCACGTGACCCCTGGGGATGGCTGCCACGGTCGTAAGTGTGAAAAAGGATCACAAGTTGTGTTTTTTCAGTGCCCTTGTAACTTTGAACAGACGAATCACAAAGGTGTTTTTTTTCCAGAAGGCAACTGGACTCTTTTTGTTTTTTCTTTGAAGACATTTCGCTTCCCATCCCAGAAGCTTCTTCGGTTCTGAAGTCCTCCTCCAAGAAGCTTTTTCCAGAACCGAAGAAGCTTCTTGGATGAGAAGCGAAACATCTTCAGAGACAGGATGTTTAGATGTCTAATCTAAAGCAAAGAAGAAACAGGGGAGACATGATAGCAGTCTTCCAGTATCTGAGGGGCTGCCCCAAAGAAGAGGGAGTCAAGCTATTTTCCAAAGCACCTGAAGGCAGGACAAGAAGCAATGGATGGAAACTCATCAAGGAGAGAAGCAACCTAGAACTAAGGAGAAACTTCGTGACAGTGAGAACAATTAACCAGTGTAACAACCTGCCTCCAGAAATCGTGGGCGCTCCATCACTGGAGATGTTTAAGAAGAGGCTAGACAGTCACTTGTCTGAGATGGTATAGATCAGTGGTGGCGAACCTAGGGCACAGGTGCCAGAGGCGGCACGTGCCGTCGCCCCAGCCTCGCCTCCCCCCGCGACCCCCTCCTCTCCAGCAGCCCCCCTGAAGGAGAGTCGCTCTTGAGCGTGGCCCACACGGAGCAGCGCAGCCAGGGACATGGCAGCCAGGCAGTGTAGACAAGACTCTGCCCTCACACCCCATCACGCATAGTTGATGCTGCGGGGCGCGGGCAGAGGGTGTGGCCGCCATGGTGCTGCTAAGCTGCCTGAGCGATCAGCGGCGGGCCCTGGAGGCCGTGAGTGGTCCTGTGGGCAGGTGGGGCAGGGGATGGGGGGCAGAGCGGGGGCCGGGCAGGGGGGTGGAGCAGGGGCAGGGCCAGTTTTTGGGCACTCGGACCCTAAAAGATTCACCATTACTGGTATAGATTCTCCTGCTTGAGCAGGGGGCTGGACTAGAAGACCTCCAAGGTCCCTTCCAGCTCTATTCTATTCTATTCTTACCATTATTCTATTCTATTCTATTCTATTCCATTCCATTCCATTCTATTCTATTCTATTCTATTCTATTCTATTCTATTCTATTCTATGCCTTATTCTATTCTATTCTATTCTAATCTAATTATTCTGTTCTATTCTGTTTTGTTATCATTATTCTATTTTTATCATTATTCTATTCTATTCTATTCTATATATTTTTATTCTATTCTATTCTATATTTTTATTCTATTCTATTCTATTCCTATTCTATTCTATATTTTTATTCTACTCTACTCTGCTGTGCTCTATTCTATTCTATTCTATTCTATTCTATTCTATTCTATTCTATTCTATTCCTTAATTCTATTCTATTCTAATTTAATTATTCTGTTCTATTCTATTCTGTTCTGTTATCATTATTCTATTTTTATCATTATTCTATTCTATTCTATATATTTTTATTCTATTCTATTCTATTCCTATTCCTACTCTACTCTACTCTACTCTACTCTACTCTACTCTACTCTACTCTACTCTACTCTACTCTATTAACAAGAAAGTCCAGTTGCCTCCTGAAAAAAAAAAAACACCTTTGGGACAAGGGTGACCTGGACGGCTGAGACTCTCCATAGATTGGTTGCTAAATAAACTGTTGTTAAGCCAAGGACTACCTGTGATAGGCTGGCGATAGACCCCAAACGGACTCCAAAGGAAATATTTCCGAGTTGCGTTTTCCTGCCCTTGACGAACTGTTGTTGTTGTTGTTGTTGTTTTAATTGAAAATCAAAACCTATTTCATGGTGGCTACTCTGGGGCTTGGCGTCCCAGGGCAAGTTCCTTCTCCTTCCTGGATCACCTGGCCAATGATGGAGGAGGCCCAGGACCTTCTGAAGAACGTTTTTGAGGGGATGAAGGTTGGAAATGCGCCCTGCCCCCACCACCCTTTCTGCCTTTGTCCTTCCACCCCGTCACCCTCACCCTTCTCTTTGTTCCTCAGTTACTCAACACATTAAAGAGCTCCTGGAGAGAAAGAGTAAGAAGAAGTCCAAATTGAGAAAAAAACCCAAACCTTATGTTGAAGACCACGATGGTAGGGCCTTGAGCTCCCAAGTTCTCCTTTAGCAGCTTCTTCTCCTTAGTCTAGTCAACATCTCCCCCCTTTTCTGCACCTTCTTGGCCTCTGCTCCATCTAACACGGCTTCCTTCTTCTCCTAGTTGCTAATTTGGGGGTGCTCCTCTGGATCCTGATTTTTTTTGGGGGGGGGGAACCCACTGCTGTTCACATTTTCCCCAGCACCTGCTGACCTCAATCTAATCTTCCAAGGTTCCCCTTTTGCTCATGGTCAAGGCTGGCTGTGCCACAGGTTACTGTTTGCAAGCATGTACCACCTCACTTGGGGAGGGGGATGTGGGGGCTGAGGATTGAAAAAGGGAATTGCAGTTTTCCTATCCAGGAAGCGGGGGGAGGGGGGGGGCGACCTCCTTCCATTTGTCCATCATCTGCGTCACGCCAAACCTACCTATGATGTAGGTTCACGTGCGACATGGCTGCGCGCCGTGAACCTCTAGCCCAGTGGTTCTCAACCTTTTTAATGCCATGACCCCCCAACTGGTCATAAGCCGAGGACTACTCAACCGGTCGTAAGTCGAGGACTACTCAACTGGTGCAGCACTGTTTGCAGACTGGGGCTTTTGGCAGGCTCAGCAGGGCAGAGACAGCCTGGACAATTCCTATTGGCTTTGGAAAGCCAATAGAATTAGACTCTATTCAAGAGAGTCTATTCTATTGGCTTTCAAAAGCCAATAGAATAAAAGGGAGTAGCACAGCCAAGGAAAAGGGGAAAAAAATGGCGGACTGTGTTGTTTGGCGACCCCCGTGAAATGGTCGTTCGACCCCAGGTGGGGTCCCGACCCACAGGTTGAGAACCACTACTCTAATCCAAATGCAGGATTTGACTGCATGATAAAAGTTACTTCTGGCAAGGGTCCCCAACCGTGGCCACTTTAAGACTGGTGGACCTCAACTCCCAGAATTCCTCAGCCAGCCAAGCTGGCTGAGGAATTCTGGGAGTTGAAGTCCACTAGTCTTAAAGTGGTCAAGGTTGAGGACCCCTGATTTATGGAGCCCAAACCATATTATGACTGGCAAAGTTTGATATGCACGACCCAGCTGATGGCAGTCATCTTGACCAGGGGTCTCCAAACTTGACCACTTTAAGACTATGTGAACATCAACTCCCAGAATTCCTCAGAATGCTGGCTGGGGAATTCTGGGAGTTGAAGTCCACAAGTTGGGTTCCATAAATCAGGTTGGAGTCCCCTGATTTATGGAACCCAAGCCATAGTGTGACTGGTAAAGTCATTCTGACCAGGGATCTTCAAACATGACCACTTTAAGACTATGTGAACGTCAACTCCCAGAATTCCTCAGAATGCTGGCTGGGGAATTCTGGGAGTTGAAGTCCACAAGTCACCAAGGTTGGAGACCCCTGATTTATGAAACCAAGCCATATTATAACTGGTAAAATTTGAAATGCATGATCCAACTGATGGCAGTCATCTTGACCAGGGGTCTCCAGACTTGACCACTTTAAGACTATGTGAACGTCAACTCCCAGAATTCCTCAGAATGCTGGCTGAGGAATTCTGGGAGTTGAAGTCCACAAGTCTTAAAGTGGCCACGGTTGGAGACCTCCGATGAAGAGAACCCTACAGACAGAAAGCAGAGGTGGAGAGCGCTTGCAAAGGGCACCTGGGGTGTAAAGAGGAGGGTGGGGGCAAAGTCTGAGTGTCCACCTGCCTGGTCAAAGGTTGGGTATCCCGGCCAGAAGACAATCTCCCAGGGCCCAGTCCACCATCTGTCAGGTAAGAAACAGACCAGGCTTAACAATGGTATCTCCTTTCTGCTATGGATCAGAGTTGAAGCCACTGGGGTCCTGTAGAAGTCACAGTGATGTCACACCATGTGTGATCATCTCTTTCTATATCTGAGAAGGTCCATGGAGGGTGGTGGTGGTGGTGGTGGCTTCATAAGATGTCTCAACTCTAGGCTACCTCAACAAGAGATGCATCACTTGAGCATCCTGGATGAGAAGATCTCTCTCTCTCTCTTCCTATGAGTCCCTGGGTGCTCTCTGAGCTTGGATGTTTTCTTGCAGACGTCTTATGACCCAACTAGGGAACATCATCAGTGTTTGAAGAGAGGGAGGTTGGGTGCTGGGTGCTTTTTGAGCTTGGTTGTTTTTTGGCCAACGTTTCATGACCCAACTAGGGAACATCATCAGTGCTAGAAGGGGATAAGCTTGGGTCTTTTATGTTTTCTGAGCTTGGTTGTTTTTTTGCCAACATTTCATGACCCAACTAGGGAACATCATCAGTGCTAGCTATATTTGCAAGCTCTGAACAGATGCTAGAAGAAGGCCAGCGTGTTTGAAGGAATTGAAGAGGGGTTGTGCAAGGTTCAACGCCCTTCCGAGTTGCGTTCGAATCTTCCATTGTCCTAACGGGCAGAGCATAAGAATTGAATCAATGCACAAATGTCGCCGAGTATAGAATCTCTGTCCTTTGTGCAATGGCGACATGATGTGTGTGACATCACCATGGCATGCTTGTGCACATACACACACGCACACCCCCCCCTAGATATCTGTAGCATTGAGTATTTGGGGTTTTCTCTTCTGCTTTGGCCCAATCAGCTGCTGTTGGGTCCGGAAGTAGAGCTAGTCACCAAAATACAGATATTGCTCAACTTAACGAACACAATCGGGCCCCAAATTTCCATTGCTAAGTTGCTCAGTGAGTTTTGCCACATTTTACGACACTCCCCCCCCCTTTGCCACAGTTGTTTTGCGGCCTTCAAGCGAACCAAGTCAGTGGGGAAGCCGCTTCACTTAACAACTGGGGTCTCTGTCTGAATCCCCACAGCAATTCACTTAACAAGCCAGGTCATGGAAGGATGCGTCACAGCCATTGTTGTGATTCCGTGCCAGCCTGTGCTCCCAACAGCAGAGTCTGAGAAATCTGTGGAGGAGGCATTTGAAGGGCCATCAGGGGCAGAGGGAGGCTCTGATGAATTACAGGACTCACGGTTTGATGCAGAGCCTGGGCCCTCCAGTCGTGGTCCTGATGAAGCTCAGCTGTGTGAGGAGAATGAGTCAGAGGACTCACACCTGATGGACATGCTAATCGATGCTCGCACACGTCGTCAATTAGCGAGAGTAAATCAGCAGCAGTCAATGCGACAACTCCAGGGCAAAAGGAGAAGGCACTGAGAGGCAACGCCTTGCGACTGCTGTATAAAAAGAGGAGGTGTGGGTGGTGCTGGGTGCTGAAGGCAACCATTTGTAAAGTACTTCTTTGGATCCTGGTCCATTCGTCTTGCTTGTGACTACTCTTCTGTTTGCATCGTGTTTCCTGTGGACTATTTCCTTCCTTTGGACTTGAGTTTTGCTGTTTGTGTTTTGGACTATTTGGCAGGTTTGTCACCCATATTAAAAGGGGTTTGTTTTGTTTTAAAGTCTCCAGCCTATTTTATCAACAGGGGTTTGGTCCTTGTGCCTTTAACAAGGATGGCAATAGGCTGGGATAGAACAGCCATCTTGATCAGCCACAGAGGTTTTGGCCTCACCTGTGGTCGTTAATTCGAGGACTACCTGTGTTCTGGGTTTTTTTTTTCTCTGCCAGTGTTCTGTCCCAGCCTACGTGAGTCCTTGTTCAGCTCCCATGGAGAAACCCTGCTTCCAACAAGTAGGCTGGAACCGCAGGAAAAAATCAACAATCCCCCTTTTATTATTCACAGACCTAAGTCAATGTCCAAGGCAAACAAAACACAGTTCACAGAAACTCAATTCCTCAACACGAACGGTTGCCTTTGGCCAGTAGCACCTCCCACACCTTCCCTTTTATTATGCAGCCCAGACGTGGCTTCCTAATGCCATCTCCTTTGCCTTTGGAGCCGCCCCATTGCATCCCTTTGCCCTACTCCAGTGGTGGCGAACCTATGGCATGCGTGCCAGAGGCGGCACTCAGAGCCCTCTCTGTGGGCACGTGTGCCATACTCCGGAGATGGCAACTGTCCCTCTTCAACCAGCCGCCCGCTAACTTGCTGAGGTCCCACATGGCCGGATGCATCCCAGCATGGCTGGTTTCCCTCCCCCCCCCGTCCCATCCCTCTTGGCCTCGCAGGCTCTTCTTTTCCTGGGCACGACCCACTGCATCGCCTCCTCAGCTGTCGGCCCTCTGTCCGGCTCAGAAGCAGCTTCTCTGAACTGCTAGCAGCGGTCTGCGGAGCTCCAGAGTGCACCAGTTGAGGGGCCAGCAGGCTGTGGCTGCTGACAGATGCTGTCAGCCCCCATGTGCTCGCTGGCCTCTGTGTGCGGGGGCCGATGGGTTCAGGCAGCAGCTGCCCCGCCCCTGCCTCGCCTTGCCCTGCGACAATGGCACCCCTGCCCTGCCTCGCCTCGCCTCGCCTCACCCTGCAGGACGAGCCTCCTGCCCACCGCCCCACCTGCCAGAGACCCCCTGGACCTCCCCCAACCCTGCCCAGCCCCCACAGGCATCCCTCCCCACGAGCAACATTGAGGTGACCACGCCTACCTTGGCCACACCCACCCAGTCTGCCATGACCACCACAGCCATGCCCACCCAGTGCCCACCTGGCACACTTCTCTTGCCTGCGCATTCGTGCATCCGGGATTTGTCCCAGCTGTTCTTCATCACTGTCCAACTCAGACTCCCCATACAGCTGTATCTCAGCCTGAGCGTGAGTAGAGGGGCCGGGCTCCTCGTCCGACTGTAAGTCTTGGAGCTCCTCAGAGCCTTCTTTTTTTTTTTTATTAAAAAGTTTTTTATTTTCCATTTATTCATACAAAATACAATTCAATTGACAAGATAAAATAAATTCCTAACCATTGGTACCACCTGCCCATTCCCCCCAGGCCGCGTCCACCCTCTCTAGTACCTTCCCTACTTCCCTCCTCTTTCTCTCCTCCCCTCCTACTCTCTTCCCCTCCCCTTCTCCTCTAACCATCCTACTTCCTCCCTGCTCCTTCCTCCCCTCTCATCCCTCTCACACACATGAAGGCAGCATAGGGGAAATGCCCAAGCGTTTACCGTGTCTATATTATCGTTACCCACCCACTCACCCACCCACCCACCCTCAGCCCTCCCCCGCTCGCTTCCCAGAGCAGAGTACAGAGTTATTAATAAGAAAGTTAACAATAATAAAAAAAAGGAAAAGAAAAAAGAAAAGAAAACTTCATACTTAACCTTTAAGTCCCCTTAAGTTGTCATATAAACAAATCTCTACAACAGTTGCTATAAAATTTACTCATAAAGTAAATGAAACTTTGTAGTCCCATACTTTTTCTGAATATAATCTATCCATCTTCTCCATGCAATAATATATCTTTCTTGTGTATGATCCTTCAGATAAGCAGAAATTTTTGCCATTTCTGCAAAGTTAGAAAGTTTAAATCTCCATTCTTCCAAAGTAGGCGACGAATCTTTCTTCCAATATGAGCCTACTAGTAACCTCGCTGCAGTTAATAAATTCAACATTAAAGTAGTTTCTTTGTCACAAAGAAAGGAACGCCTCAGAGCCTTCCTCCGACTCTGATGTCATCCAAGCCTTCTTCCTCCTCCTCTGAGTCCTCGGACTCAGCTGCCGGGTCCACCGGCTGGCGAGCAATCACAACAGCCAGCCTTATAAGGAGTGTTTGTAAAGGTGGGGTTGCAGACAAACTCTCTCCTGGGTTGTCATTCATTGCCCAGGATTGGTGCAGGACGTTAACTGTGACAAGGATGTAACCTGCCCTTTCCAGACAAGACCCGTTTCACAACTGATGCAAAAGGGGGGGGGGGGGGGATGAGCAAAAAGCATAATTTTCGCCTATAATCTCCGGTTTTTGTTTTTTTTTTTTGTCCTGGAAAGCTGTGCATGTCAGGTGCATGGAAGAAAGGGAGGGAGGATCAAAAAAAAAAAAAAAAAAAAAAATGCTGACTTTTTTGACCTACCTGGACCCACATCCCGGAGCTTCCTGCTTCCCCATAAACCAAGGGCCGATTTGAATATTTTGAGGCAAGCCGAAAGGCTGCAGCCTAAAAGTGCATTTATTAAACTTCGGTCGCACCTGCTAAACGTAGCTGCTTGGGGGGTGTGTGTGTGTGTGTGTGTTTCCCTCCACGCAACGTCTATCCCAAGGCAAATCAAGGTTAAAGCTAACCATGCGTAGCCTATAAATAGTAAATTGCAACCGGGAGGAAGGAAATGAGGACCAAAGGCACGCTCGCTGGTGTGTCTCTGCGCGGACACACAAACGCACGTGTTCTCCTCCTGGGCCCCCACCTCGTGGTGCCGATCTGGGGAAGGGGTTAAATTAATCGCAGTTAGGTTAAGTTAAACCACAGTTAGGGAGGTGAGGAATCGGAATCAGCTGACTACCAGGCAGTCCTCGACTTTACGACCACAATGGAGCCCCCCCAATATCTGCCATTATGTGAGACATTTGTTAAGTGAGTTTTGCCCCAATTGACGATTTTTCTCTCCACGGTCGTTAAAATGAATCACTGATCAGTTAATAACCTGGTTGTTAAGTGAATCTAGCTTCGCCATTGACTGCTTATCAGGAGGTCACATGACCCCGGGACCCAGCAACGGTCGTAAGTAGGAACCAGCTGCCCAGCGTGGATCGTGTGACCATGCGGGAGTCTGCAAAGGTCATAACTGTGAAAAAAAAATGGTCGTAAGTCGCTTTTTTCCACGCCGTTGTAACTTTGAACGGTTGCTAAGGGAACTGTTGTAAGATTAGGACTGCCTGTGCTGAGTGTGTTGTGCGGCTTGGCACCGCCTCTGCTGGTAGCCGTCCAACGGGGGTACCAATTTTGCAATCCGAGTAGAGGTAATCCTTGTCTTATGATCACGATTGAGGCGAGGATTCCCATCAGTAAGCGAGGCAGTTGTTCAGGGAGTCACAGGTAGTCCTTGACTTACGACTTTAATTGGGATTGGAACTTCCATCACTAAGCAAGACAGTTGTTCAGCGAGTCGCAGGCAGTCCTCGACTTAATGACCACAATTGGAACTGAAAAGACTGTCCCTGAGCGAAGCAGTTGTTAAGTGAGTCGCAGGACATCCTCGACGTAACGACCACAATTGGAACTGGAATGACCTTCACTAAGCGAAGCAGTTGTTAAGTGAGTCACAGTCTTTGACTTATGACCATGATTGGGACTGGAACTTTGGTCACTAAGCAAGGCAGTTCAGTGAGTCGCAGGCAGTCCTCGAATTAATGACCATAATTGGAACTGGAATGATCATCACGAAGCGAAGAAGTTGTTAAATGAGTCACAAATAGTCTTCGACTTACGAACTCGACTGGGACTGGAACTTCCGTTGCTAAACAAGACGGTTGTTAATCGAGTGATGGATTGAATTTTGACCAGGTGAGCACGGGGATGTTGCAACGGTCGTTAAGGCTGAAAAATGGTCATACGCTCCTTTTTTTCCCACGTCGTTGTTATTGCGAATGGTCACTAAATGAACTGTTGAAACTACGGGCAGTCCTGGACTCGCCCCAGTTAGTGACCATTTGCAGTGCCAACGGGATTGGGAAAAGCAATCTTTCAATCCATTTTTCACCCTTGCGGCCGTTGCAAGCCTCCCTGCGCTCACCGGATCAAAATTCAGACGCTGGGCGACTGACTCGTACTTACGACGGTTGCAGCGTCCCGGGGGAGGGGTCACGTGATCCCCTTTCGTGACCGTCTGAGAAGCGAAGTCACCGGGCAAGCCCGTTTCGCTTAACGACCGTGTGACGTAACTTAACCATTTCATCCGTTCACTTCCCGACGGTGGCGACGAAGATCTTAAAAATGGGGCAAAACTCGCTTAGCAAATGTTCTCCCTTACTGACGGAAACGTCGGGTCCGATTGTGGTCATAAGTCAAGGACTACCTGTCGACCATTGGGTAATGGAGCAGGTGTTCCTCGTGGCTTGGAGGTCATCTCCGGGCCAAGGCTGATCATCCCTTCGCTTTGGTCCCTGAGGGTTAGCCGTAATTCTCCTGGATTTGAAGTTCGTGGCCACTGAGGAGCAGGCAGAAGAAGAAGGAAGAGTTGGCCAAGGGTTGACTTGATGGGACTCCAGAGAAAGATGCTAGGATGGGAGCTTCTCCGAACAGCGTCTCAGCCCCACAGGAGTCCTTCTTGAGTAGGGACGTCAGGAAGATGCTCAAGACAGATGGGAAGAAGGTCTGCTTGCCCTGGGACCTCTTGTCTACTGTCCTCCAGCTCATGGTTGCCCCATGGTTGATTTTTCAGGAGGCCACTGGACTTCCTCCTGTTTGTCTTTGAAGACTTTTCGTTTCTCCTCCAAGAAGCTTCTTCGGCTCTGACGGGATGGTGGGGGAATGGAAGGATTTATACTCCTTGCGGACAGCCGGTAATTTGCATCCTTTGGGAGAGTCGTTGAGGCCACTTGGAGGTTTATCCAAGTCCACATTCTGGACAGCTGGTTTGACAGAGGGGTCAAAGAGGCCATCTGTGTCCAAATTGAACAGCCCTTTCTCAACAGAGGTTGAGGGATACGGCATCATCTGTCTCCAGTCTACAACACAGAGAAGGCTCCACACCCATTTGCACCACTCAGGTGACCCCGAAGACATAGATAAACCTCCAAGTGGCCTCAACGACTCTCTAAAAGGATGCAAATGACCAGCTGACTGCAAGGAGTATAAATCCTTCTGTCTTCCATCATCTATCCAGAGTAGAAGAAGCTTCTTGGATGAGAAGGGAAACGTCTTCAAAGAAAAACAAGGAAGTCCAGTTACCTCTTGAAGAAGCACCTTTGGGATGTGGGACCTCTCACACAGGACACCTCTCTGGTTGCGTGGCTTCTTCTCAGTCAGCTGCTTGGGTCTCTCTTCTTAGCCTCTTCCTGTGGGGGTGGCAACTCATGAATTGACTTTGCTCTGACTTTTTTTTCTCTTTCTCTCTTTCTCTTCCTCTCTCCTTCCTCCCTTCTCTCTTGTAGGGGTGGCGGTAAGCACTTACGCCAAGTATTGTTACAGCAAGCTCCAGAAAGCAGCGTTGACGGGCGCTAAGAAGGTATCTTTCCCCCCCCCCTCTTTTGTGTTGTCCTTCGAGGTGGCCTTGGGAGATGGGAGTTGTGTAGCTCCATGAGCCTGGAGCATGTGGACGATTGGGTCAAAGTTGGAAGCCTAACCCAGGGGTCCTTCAACTTGGTCTTCAAACTTGGCCACTTGAAGACTTGTGGACTTCAACTTGGTCTTCAAACTTGGCCACTTGAAGACTTGTGGACTTCAACTCCCAGAATTCCCTAGCCAGCCATGCTGGCTGGGTAATTCTGAGAGTTGAAGTCTACAAATTGGGAGTTGAAGTCCACAAGTCTTCAAGTGGCCAAGTTTGAAGACCAAGTTGAAGTCCACAAGTCTTCAAGTGGCCAAGTTTGAAGACCAAGTTGAAGTCCACAAGTCTTCAAGTGGCCAAGTTTCAATTCTGGAAGTCCACAAGTCTTAAAGTGGCCATGTTTGAAGACCAAGTTGAAGTCCACAAGTCTTAAAGTGGCTATGTTTGAAGACCAAGTTGAAGTCCACAAGTCTTAAAGTGGCTATGTTTGAAGACCAAGTTGAAGTCCACAGGTCTTAAAGTGGCCAAGTTTCAATTCTGGGAGTTGAAGTCCACAAGTCTTAAAGTGGCCATGTTTGAAGACCAAGTTGAAGTCCACAAGTCTTAAAGTGGCCATGTTTGAAGACCCCCCCCAAGAAGGGTTCCCCAATCTTGACCTTGATGGATCTCAACAAGTGAGCCAAGACATCCAACTCAACCTTCTGGCCCTTGTCCTTTGGCTCCAGAGGGGAAAGTTGGTGGAGATGTTATATCTCAAGAGCTTCCTGTCCAGGTGTCTTATTGTGCTTACCAACCATTGTTTCCTCAAGGAGCATAATAATGCAGGAGATTTCAAGGTTTAAGAGGACATCGAGGAGACTGGTTCAAGGTTTAAGAGGACATGGAGAAGTCCAGAATCAGAGGCCACCCAAAACGTCCCAATTGTGGGCTTTTTTCTGTGTTTGTTCAATATATACAAGCACCATCTCAACGTGTGTGGCCTCTGGGCCGCTCACCAGGTTTACAAAAAACAAAACACTTATAAAAGAAAAACCAGTAAAAGAAATGAATTTTTTTTTAAAAAAAGCAGTTGGCCATTAACCATGAAACATAGAAGGTGGGAGAGGACCAGCCGGTAGATGAGAACCATCTCACCAGCTCCAAGCCTTCAAGAGATCCCCAAGTCTAATAACAGGGCCGTCTTCTTCTTTGGGGTCCACCAAAAGGCCAGTAGATCTTGTGCCAGACCTCAAAATGGGTAACTGGGCGTTGATTCCATACTTGTGTCCCCCTTCTGGGTATTTTTGACCCACCCCTTGCAGATGCTCCTTAGACATCCAGAATTCTATGTCTGACGAGAAGGAAGGGGCTGGGCGGAAAGCAGGAAAGACCCCTCCCCCAGTTAGGTAGTGCTAATAGAAGAGAATGTAACTCAGGGGTGAATTGTGGGGTCCTTGGTGCTCTCTGCACTTGGTTGTTTTCTTGGAGACGTTTCATGACCCAACTAGGTAACCTCATCAATGCTAGAAGTGAGTGAGGTTTGTGGAGAGGAGGGAGAAGGAGAGGAATGGGAGGGGGAGGAGGAGGAGGAGGAGGAGGAGGGGGACTGTGGGGTTCTTGGTGCTCTCTGCACTTGGCAGTTTTCTTGCAAACGTTTCATGACCCAACTGGGTAACACCATCAGTGATAGAAGGGAGTGGGGTTTGTGGAGTAGGGGGAGGGGAGGGGAGGAGAAGGAAGAGGATATGATTAAACTCATAATAATATTTTTTAAAACTTACATGCCACCTAACTCTCTGTGACTGGGTGGCTCACCACAATTAAGCAAAGAAAATACAATATCGGTCTAATACACTTTCTGTATTCTCCCTGGAAGCCTGCTTTTGAAAGCAGAAGATAGATGATAGATGTATTGGATGGATGGATGGATGGATGGATAGATAGATAGATAGATAGATAGATAGATAGATAGAGAGAGAGAGAGAGAGAGAGAGAGAGATATAGAGAGATAGAGAGATATGGATGGATAGATGAATAGAGGTAGGTAGGTAGGTAGGTAGATATGGTTGGATGGATAGATGAATGAGATAGATAGATAGATAGATAGGGATGGATGGATGAGATAGATAGATAGATAGATAGATAGATAGATAGATAGATAGATAGATAGATAGATAGGGATGGATGGAAATAGATAGATAGATAGATAGGGATGGATGGAAATAGATAGATAGATAGATAGATAGATAGATAGATAGATAGATAGATAGATAGATAGATAGATAGATAGATAGATATGGATGGAGATGGATGGATGGATAGATAGATAGATAGATAGATAGATAGATAGATAGATAGATAGATAGATAGATAGATATGGATGGATAGATAGGTAGGTAAAATAGGTAGATGGGAGGGATGGGTAGGTATGTATGTAGATAAGATGGATGGATAGATGGATAGATAGATAGATATGGATGGATAGATGAATAGAGGTAGGTAGATAGATAGATAGATAGATAGATAGATAGATAGATAGATAGATAGATATGGTTGGATGGATAGATGAATGAGATAGATAGATAGATAGATAGATAGATATGGATGGATGAATGAGATAGATAGATAGATAGGGATGGATGGATAGATAGATAGATAGATAGATAGATATGGATGGAGATGGATAGGTAGATAGGTAGGTAAATAGGTAGATAAGGGAGGGAGGGATGGGTAGGTATGTATGTAGATAGATGGATGGACGGATGTAGATAGATAAGAGATGGAAGGACAGGTAAGTACGGAGATAGGTAGATAAGATGATGGATGGATGGATGGATGGATGGATGGATGGATGGATGGATAGACAGAGAGAGACACAGATATAGGCAGGTGGACAGACAGACAGACGATGATGGATAGGCTCAAAAGGTTCTGCTTCAGGCTTCTCCCAGGCAAGCCCCCCCCCCCGTCTGCCATTCACCCCTCCACGCTCACACATGCAAACCTGGGCAACACCCCATGCTCGCATGAAAGGAATTGCATGTGAACCTCCGAGGGTCTCGGTGGGCTCCGATGCCAGTCCTTGGCATCCACAAAGAGTTGCGCCTGAGCCCAGAAGACCCCGGGGCATCCAACTCTTGCGTTAGTGGGATTTGTGTAAGAAACTCCCCCTCCCTCCTCCTGGATTGCTGGGATTGTCCGGCGCTGAATTGTATTCTTTGCTCATCCTAAATAATATGCCTTTCCTAATTTCTGACTCGGGGCTCAGCTACCGCTGGCACAAGGGGCGGTTGAGCGCGCGCACGCTAACCAGCCACTCACGCGGCCCGGTGTCCAAGAGGCCACGGCCCATTGGTTGTGGACCTCTGGATTTGAGGGAGAGCAAAGCCAGCGCAGAAAGTTCTGGCTTCTTGGCATTGTACCATGTCAATCCATCACAAAGTTTGACATGCTCTTTCTTCTTCTTAAACCCCTTCTATCTTCTCCACCACCTTTTATCTCCTACTCATTTGAGCTGATGACCTTCTGACGAGGAAGGTGGTTAATGGGCTGTGGCCTCTGGTTAATGGGCTGCTTCCCAGCCGATGGGGATGGCTCTCGGCCGTTCTCCACCAAAGTCACACTGAAGCACAATGTGACATCCTTGGGTGTTTCCCTTTGCCCATGGGGGGGCGGGCGGGCGGGCAGCCCATTCAGCCACTTCTTAAGTCTTGTGGCCATCGCCTTTGGCCACCCATGCTGGAGTCAGGGTGCCTCTCTGTGGCCAACATCTGGATTGCAGTGCAAAATGCTTTGTTTCCACACACACACACACACCCCAGAGAGATGAGACGGGGTTAAAAGTTGGCTGGGAACATTATGGTTTGAGGCTGGATCCTGGTTTCCGAAGACGCCCTCGTGGGTTTGTCAAAAGGTTTGTTTGTTTAGGAAAATTCATATAGCCGCTCAGCTTACTCTCTATGACTCCAGGTGGCTTGCAAAGATTTAAAAAAAAAAATCTAATATCAAGTGAGCTGAGTGCAGTACTGCAGGCCACTTTAGCTGACTGTGTTCAGCAAGTCAGCGGTTCAAATCTCACCGGCTCAAGGTTGACTCAGCCTTCCATCCTTCCGGGGTAGGTAAAATGAGGACCCAGATTGTTGGGGGCAATGTAAATATATATATATATACATTGCTTACTGGTGTACACCGCTTAGAGAGTGCTTGCACTTAAAGCGGTATATAAGTCTCATAAATAAATAAATAAATAAATAAGTGATCAATACCAGTAACTCCTCACCACCCTGACGACAGCAATTAATCAAAGGAACCACTGGATGGGCTCCCTCCCACTCTGGGTTGCCCAGGACCTTGGGAGGAACCAGGGCCTTGGGAAAGAGGGTCAAGGTGGGGGCCAACTTGATCTCTGCAGGAATGTTGGTGTGACTAGTGCCCAGCCTCAATCCACGCATAAATGCATACTTCTTCTGAACACATCCCGATCCTTCTGTCCGTCGTCGGTCCGCCCGCCCTGGAGATCTAGTTCAGACATGTCAAACACAAGGCCCGGGGGCCGGATGTGGCCCGCGACATGGTTTCATGTGGCCCGCGAAGCCATCCTGGAAACAGTGACGGAATGGCCCCCGCTGCCTTGGCCCCAGCCGCCCGGGAGCCAATGTACAATTTTGTGGTGGCCATCTATGCTGAAACGCAGTCAGTCTTAGCTCCACAAGGCCGTTTGGAAACAGCGAGGAACCAGCCCCTGCCGCATCGGTCCCACCCCCTGGGTGCGCGCTGGGGAGATGTCACCCTTTGTGAGGAATGAAGAAATGCACCATCGCCTGGAAGTGGCCAGCAAATGGCCCTCGCCTACTTCACCTATCCGGCTTGATGGGCTCCAGGGAGGGGTTTCAGCAGGCAGTGAGGCTCCTTCAGTGGACCATGCCTTTGCACTTGCCCTGGTCCCACCTCCTTCTGCCAGAGACCCTCAGATCTATCCCACTCCTGCCCAGGCCCCCACAGGCACCCTTGACGTGAACGATGTAGAGCTGGCCACGGCCACCCAGTAGGCCACACCCACTCCATCTATGCCCACCAAGTAGGCCATGCCCACCTTGGCCACACCTACCCCTCCCCCCCCAGGACAACCACAATGCTGATGTGGTCCTCAATGAAATTGAGTTTGACACCCCTGATCTAGTTCCTCAGCTCCTTGGGTGGGTGGGTGGGTCGGTAACGGTGTTGGTGTCGGCGTTGTTCGTGACCGTGCCCCAGATCCTCGGAGATCCGTCCCACCTGAGCTTGGTGACATCCAATTCATGCTGTGCGTGTCCCCCATGTGCTCCTTCCTGCAGGGTCTGAAGAAGCCGAACATCGAGGAGATCCGCCATGCCAAGAACGCCGTCTTCAACCCATCCATGTTTGGAAGCTCCCTGCAAGAAATCATGAACATGCAGAAGGAGAGGTACCCAGACAGCCAGCTCCCGTGGGTGCAGACCAGGCTGTCGGAAGAGGTCCTGGCGCTCAACGGAGACCAGACCGAAGGCATCTTCAGGTAATTATTCAGCCCTTTCTGTTTCTTTCTCATTTCTTCCACCTCTTTTTTTTTCAATTCTAATTCCTTAACTCCAGATTATTATTATTATTATCGATCATCGCACAGTCAGCCAGATGTTCAGACTGGATTTGGCATTTTGTCTACCTATCGAGTCCTTACCCAGGACCTGGGATAGGCAGATGTGGATGTTTGATGGTATTACAGATATCGTCGCAGGATGGAAGCAGTTCCTATTATTATTATTATTATCGATCATCACACAGTCAGCCAGATGTTCAGACTGGATTTGGCATTTTGTCTCCTATCGAGTCCTTACCCAGGACCTGGGATAGGTAGATGTGGATGTTTGATGGTATTACAGATATCGTCGCAGGATGGAAGTAGTTCCTAGTAAGGCCGCCTTTTGCAATTGACTAATAGCGAATTTGTCAATGCCGATGATTGTGTTCAAGTGGTGCTCCAGTTGTTTTGGGATTGCACCCAAGGCGCCTATTACTATTGGTACTACCCTTGCTTGCCTTTGCCACAGTCTTTCTATTTCTATTTGTAGGTCTTTGTATTTTGTTATCTTCTCCAGTTCTTTCTCGTCTGTTCTGCTGTCTCCAGGCACTGCCACGTCCACTATCCAGACTTTTTTGTCTTTCTTATCAACAATTGTTAAGTCCGGGGTGTTGCAGGTGCTTGTCTGTTTGAATTCTGAAATCCCAGAGCAGTTTAATTTTATCATTTTCTATGACTCTCTCTATTTTATGATCCCACCAGTTCTTGCTTACAAGCAAATGATATTTTTTGCAAATCTTCCAATGCACCATTGTTGCTACTTTGTCATGCCGCTGCTTGTAGTCAGTCTGTGCAATCTTCTTGCAGCAGCTTACTATTATTGTTGTTACTGTTATTATTATGGTTATGGTTATTATTATTGTTTGTTATTAATTATTATTAACAATTATTACTATTATCAATTATTGTTATCATTATTAATTATTATCATTATTGTTATTATTAATAACTTTGAACCGTCACTAGATGAACTGTTTTAAGTCTAAGGATACTTAATAAAAAGTTGGAAGGGACCTTGGAGGTCATCTAGTCCAACCCCCTGCTCAGGCAGGAAACCCTACACCATTTCGGACAAATGGCTGTCCAGTCTCTTCTTAAAAACTTCCAGTGTTGGAGCATTCACCGCTTCTGGAGGCAGGTTGTTCCACTGGTTAATTGTCCTCACTGTCAGGAAGTTTCTCCTTAGTTCTAGGTTGCTTCTCTCCTTGATGAGTTTCCATACGTTGCTTCTTGTCCTGCCTTCAGGCGCTTTGGAGAATAGCACAGACACAGGGGGGGGGGCGCAGGGTGTGTGAAGAAGACCGGCCGGGGTGTCTTCCTGGCTAGGAGAAGTGAGACCTTGGCCTGACGTGTCTTCATTTCTCTGAGGAATTCCTTTCTTCTTTTCCGCAGAGTTCCTGGAGACATTGACGAAGTCAACGCCCTCAAACTGCAGGTGGATCAGTGGAAAATTCCCACCGGCTTAGAAGACCCCCACGTTCCCGGTGAGGGTGACCACCGTGGAAGGACATTCTCCGTAGGACTTGTTGGTCTTTCTCCTCCTCCAGCAGGATCTGCCCCTGGGCAGGGATGGAGAAGCCGTTTTTGGGGGGGGGGAGGTTGACTCCCTTAAATAAGGGGAACAATTTCCCACCCCCCACCCCCTTTTGGCTTATAAACTGGTATAAAAGATACAGGAAAAGGCACAGCCCTCTTATTTAATTCCTAAACCGACTGAATATATACCCTGCGGGTAATACGGGCGGGAAATATTGGTTAATATGTATTTTTTTTTCCCCGACGCAGGTAATTGCTCGACTTAACGACCAGAATTGAGCCCAGGCTCAACAGACGGTCTTTAAGTGAGTTTTGCCCCGTTTTATGACCTCCCTTGCCACGGTCGTTAAGCGAATCGCTGTAGTGGTTGAATTAATCACACTGAACCTGGATTCCCCCCCCCCATTGGCTTGGCTTGGTGAAAAGGTCGCAACCTTCATAAATACGAGCCGGTTGCCAAGGGCCCGGATTTTGATCCCATAACCCTGGGGACGCTGCGACCGTCATAACTATGAGTCAGTTGCCAAGCGCCCGGATTTGGATCACGTGATCCTTGGGGATACTGCAACGAGGCTTAACAATAGGAATTTTGGGCTCAACTTGGCCGTAAGTCAAGGACTGTCTGTACTGACTTAAAGAGTTCACTCAATCCATGGTATCCATGGTTACAATGAACTCAAATTAAACAAATGAACCAGAATATCTATCTGTCTGTCTGTCCGTCTGCCCGTCCATCCATCCATCCATCCATCCATTTATCCATATGTGTCTGTCTGTCTCTATATTTACCTACCTACCTACCTACCTATCTCATTGTGCCCATTTACACGTTAATACACACACACACACATATATAGTATTTTTGTGTGTTTGTGTGTGTGTGTTTATCTATCTATCTATCTATCTATCTATCTATCTATCTATCTATCTATCTATCTATGTAGGTCTTTGGTTATTCGGGTTTTCTCCCACGTAAAATTGGATCTATCTATCTATCTATCTATCTATCTATCTATCTATCTATCTATCTATCTATCTATCTATCTATCTATCTCATTGTACCTATTTATACTTTAATATACACACATATATAGTATTTTTGTGTTTGTGTGTCAGTCTGTCTATCTGTCTGTCTGTCTATATGCTTGTGTGTGTGTGTGTGTGTGTGTGTGTGTGTGTGTATATATATATATATATATGTTTTTATTTTATTCACTTATAAAATACAAAAACACAAAAGCAAATAATAGGGAACAAAAGAAAGGGAAAGGGGAAAAAGAGAAGTGTGGAAAAAGCAGGGAAAAAGAAAAAAAATAGTGTTGACGTCCGACTCCCTCTGTTCCAGTAAAAGAAGGCATTAACATCCAACCTCAACTCTACATAGCACTATGAACTAGCCATTTCCATATTGACCAATCAATCTGACCCATAAAACCCAAAATCAAAGTATCCTTTTTTTCTCCCCACCACGAGCACAAAGTCCAGAAGCGGTTTCCAAGCAGAAACAAAAGCACTGATATATTTTTTATCAAAACTCTCAGTTTAGCTCTCTCTGCCAATTCTGTCAGGTTTCGTAGCCCTTCGTCCAGGGTTGGAATCAAAACAGCCTTCCCCTTTTGTGCTCAGAGCAATCTTGCTGCCGTCGACATATAATAATAATAATGATGATGATGATATAATATAATAATAGGAATATAATAATAATGATAATGATGATAATGATAATGATAATAATAATAAAGTTGGAAGGGACCTTGGAGGTCATCTAGTCCAACCCCCTGCTCAGGCAGGTAATCCTATACCATTTCGGACAAATGGCTGTCCAGTCTGTCAGAATCCAATTATATTTCATCTTTAATTATCAAATATAGAAACTCCCAATTCTGCCATCTTTGGATTCTGCCATAAGAGGGAGAGAAGGGGGAGAACAAAGGGGCTTTATGGCCCTCACTTCCTTCAGTACACTTCAAAGAGCTGAATGCTGAATTCAGCTCTTTGAAGTGTTAGCATACCAAAGGAGGGTATTTGCCTTTCATGTAGTTATCTGAAGTCTCCATCCAGACGGAAGAAAGAAGAAAGGGGGTGGAATTGTGATACTTGAAACTATCACTGGAAGGGGGGTTGATTGGGTGGGACTACTGGGGAACCCCTTAAAACCTTGAATGGAAGAGCTTGAACCCCAAGTCCTGTCTAGCATGCCTGCAACCATTTTCTCTTAATAAAGGATTCCTGTTGGAAGAATTATTCCAAGAGTTCTGTCTTCTTAAGATGCAAAGTGGGGTGGGTCCTTACACAGTCTCTTCTTAAAAACTTCCAGTGTTGGAGCCTTCACCGCTTCTGGAGGCAGGTTGTTCCACTGGTTAATTGTCCTCACTGTTTGGAAGTTTCTCCTTAGTTCTAGGTTGCTTCTCTCCTTGATTAGTTTCCACCCGTTGCTTCTTGTCCTGCCTTCAGGCCCTTTGGAGAATAGCTTGACTCCCTCTTCTCTGGGGCAGCCCCTGGGATATTGGAACACTGCTATCATGTCCCCCCCCTCCTCTTCATTAAACTAGACATACCCAATTCTAGCAACCGTTCCTTATATGTTTTAGCCTCCAGTCCCCTAATCATCTTTGTTGCTCTTCTTTGTACTCTTTCTAGAGTCTCAGCATCTTTTTTATATCGTGGTGACCAAAACTGGATCCAGGATTCCAAGTGTGGCCTTACCAAGGTCTTGTAAAGTGGTATTAATACTTCCACTTTACAATGCCTTGGCAAGGCCACATGTGGAATATATAAAATCAGAGTTTCAAATTATCCCCCCCCCCCCGAAGTCTTTTTCCCGTTAGACCCAGAAGGAAAGTTTCTGGTTTATTCTCCTGGGATCTTTCTGACTCCTGACTTTTCTCCTTGCAGCCTCCTTGCTGAAGCTCTGGTATCGTGAACTTGAGGAGCCCCTGATCCCGCACGATTTTTACGAACAGTGCATCACCCACTACGAGAATCCTGAAGCTGCCATCGCCGTCATCCACTCCCTGCCGAGGATCAACAAGATGGTGCTTTGCTACCTCATCCGCTTCCTCCAGGTAAGGCAGCGCCAAGAGTCCAGCGTGCGGGGGGTGGGGGGCGTGTCCCCTTGACCACACCTGGGCTGAGAACGCACACCTGGAACGTAAGCGTGATCCCAAACGTGCCTCCTGCAAACCTGTCGTGCCTAGAGGGATGGGGTTGGTCTGGCTTTCTCCACCTACACCAGTGGTTCACAACCTTTTTAATGCCGTGACCCCCCAACCGGTCGTAAGTTGAGGACTACTCAACCGGTCGTAAGTCGAGGACTATTCAACTGGTGCAGCACCGTTGGCAGAATGGGACTTTTGGAGGGCTCAGCAGGGCAGAGACAGCCTGGACAATTCCTATTGGCTTTGGAAAGCCAATAGAATTAGACTCTATTCAAGAGAGTCTATTCTATTGGCTTTCAAAAGCCAAGAGAATAAAAGGGAGTAGCACAGCTAAGGAAAAGGGGGGAAAAAATGGCGGACTGTGTTGTTTGGCGACCCCCGTGAAATGGTCGTTCGACCCCAAATGGGGTCCCGACCCACAGGTTGAGAACCGCTGCATTAAACAAAGTTCAAATTTTCTCCAACTTATCATGCCTTTGTTGTAGAACAGTGGTTCTCAACCTGTGGGTCGGGACCCCATTTGGGGTCGAACGACCATTTCACGGGGGTCGCCAAACAACGCAGTCTGCCATTTCCCCCCCCCCCCCTTTTCCTTAGCTGTGCTACTCCCTTTTATTCTATTGGCTTTTGAAAGCCAATAGAATAGACTCTCTTGAATAAAGTGTAATTCTATTGGCTTTCCAAAGCCAATAGGAATTGTCCAGGCTGTCTCTGCCCTGCTGAGCCCGCCAAAAGTCCCATTCTGCCAACGGTGCTGCACCAGTTGAGTAGTCCTTGACTTACGACCGGTTGAGTAGTCCTCGACTTATGACCGCTTGGGGTCGCGGCATTAAAAAGGTTGAGAACCACTGGTGTAGAATATCAACAGAGTTTCTAATGTCCTTTCCTTCCCTGGAAAAGTTGGGATATGTTCAGAAATGTATTTGCCTTGAAAACAGCTCACCTTGAACTGCATAGCACAGTCAAACATCAGCACAGGAAATGCTTCAAGGCGTTTTATGTTATGTCATAAAACTGTTTTATGACCATGTTAATGTCATAAAGTGCTGCCAAATTTCAGTTACATGGGAATTCATAAGCTACCTGGATTTTGGATGCATTCTGTATCCATTTGGGAGTAACGTGGTTCAAAAACTGTTTTGAGGAGCTGCCACAAAGAAAAGGGAGTCAAGCTCTTCTCCAAAGCGCCTGAAGGCTGGGCCAGAAACAACGGATGGAAACTAATCAAGGAGAGAAGCAACCTGGAATTAAGGAGAAACTTCGTTTACAGTCAGGACAATTAACCAGTGGAACAGCTTGCCACCAGAAGTTGTGGGGGCTCCATCACTGGAGGCTTTTAAGAAGAGACTGGACAGCCAGTTGTCTGAAACGGTATAGAACAGTGGTTCTCAACCTGTGGGTTGGGACCCCATTTGGGGTCGAATGACCATTTCACGGGGGTCGCCAAACAACGCAGTCCGCCATTTTTTTCCCCTTTTCCTTAGCTGTGCCACTCCCTTTTATTCTCTTGGCTTTTGAAAGCCAATAGAATAGACTCTCTTGAATAGAGTCTAATTCTATTGGCTTTCCAAAGCCAATAGGAATTGTCTAGGCTGTCTCTGCCCTGCTGAGCCCGCCAAAAGTCCCATTCTGCAAATGGTGCTGCACCAGTTGAGTAGTCCTCGACTTACGACCGGTTGGGGGTCACGGCATTAAAAAGGCTGAGAACCACTGGTATAGAATCTCCTGCTTGAGCAGGAGGCTGGACTAGAAGACCTCCAAGGTCCCTTCCAGCTCTATTCTGATTCCGTTGCTCTACGGTGCACCGATTTGTCCAGTTAAAGCTTGCGAGTACAAGGCTTTTCGTAATATATCGAGTTTTATCAGCTGCGTGCTGTGCCCTACAGAGTAACCCACACCTCTTCCGTTCTTCTCCCTCACTAGGTGTTTGTGCAGCCGGGCAACGTGGCCATCACCAAGATGGACGTCAACAACCTCGCCATGGTGATGGCCCCCAACTGCCTACGCTGCCAGTCGGACGACCCACGGATTATTTTTGAAAACACCCGCAAAGAAATGTCCTTCATCCGGGTACTCATCCAGCACCTGGACACAGGCTTCATGGAGGGCGTGCTATAGCCCCTGTGCCCACAGGATCGAACCGCAGTCGGACACCCCTCACCCCGGATCTTTTCCCGTCTCCCAAAGTTTCAACGGCAGCAAGGAGGTGCCACCTGGTTTAAACACCTGAAGGGAACGCTGCGGGCCCACTGACTTTGCCAATCTTGGCTAATGCCAACGCGGGCACCTGACATTGCCCAGGAAACCCTTGGAGGGGCGGGGTGGGGTGGAGGAGGCTGTGCTGTGGACAAAACGAGGCTGCCTCTTAGCCGTTCCCCTTTGCAGACACCTCCCGACCAGGATGTCCATCCGGAAAGTCTACGTAAACGGACAATCCGACACCGTTCGGGGAGAAACTGCGGACCCCGGTAGAAAGGGGCAGAAGCCCGTTCAACCCCCCCCCCTTCCCCAAAATTAAGTCTGGTCTTACGGAAACGGGGGCTCACTACCTGGTTCGGGCAGCTGAGGGAACGTTTGAATGGGTCGATGATGGTGGCGGCGGTGGTGGTGGGGGCCGAAGGTCCAAGATGGCAGCCGAAAGGGTGTAAGGGAACGAGCGGGGAGAGGATGCAGTCCGCGAAGGCTGGCGTTGCGGGGAAAGCAGATGGGCTCCCAGGACTGCTTCTGTGGAAGGGGTGGGGGGAGGAAGGTGCCATCAGATTGACCATTGAGACCTCTGTGGGGAGGGGGTGGCACTCTGCAAGGCATGGACCAGCTGGTTGGCGAGGCTCAAACACCGCTTTTTAAGATTTGGGGAAGAAAAAAAAGCCCCTTTTTCCTTCCTTGTTGCAGCACAGTCACTGCCAAAAGGGGGGGGGGAGCAAGCCACGCACTCCCCCCCCCCTCCATCTCTACATCTCAGTACTCTCACAAAAGGCCTGGGGATGCCACCCTGGAAACAGAAGCAGGATAAGGACGGGCAGAGTTTTGAACCCCGCGATACAGAACCGGCGCGTTATCTTTACCCCTCTCCTCCCTACGGGAGGGGTGTGTATGTACGTGTGCAAAGGTGGCCAGGCCCTCCTTGACCCTCGCAGCTCCCCAGTTGAGCGGTGGGGAGAAGAAGTGGGGTGCCCCCCAACGCTGGAGTTGCCCCCCATTCCCGCCCAACCTCATCTCAACACCCATTCCTGCACTCGGTGCTTTGGAAGGAAGAAGCTGTCCACAACCAATTCCTCACAGCACCTTAAGTGAGATAAGACTTTGGCTGGATCTGGGGCATTCTCCACCAGGTTTCCAGATTCCCCCCCCCCCCCAAGGAAGTCCTAAGTGCTGTTCCCTAGGTCAGAAATGGGAGGAGGCCAGCAGTAGTGTTGAAAATAAAAGGTTCTCTGTCCAGAATGGTCGTCCCCATCTTGCACATCCTTCAGGGGCCCGAAAAAAAGAAAAAAGGCATTTAGAGGTAGGGATTGCGGGGTGGAAGGCAACAGCTACGAAATGCTTTCTCCAGGCAACGTGGGAGGAGGTGGGTATGGGCTCCTTGCCCAGGCTTGCTTCAATAGGCGTGAGCCTCGCCCTTCCACCTCTCGTTTCTCAAGGTCCCCTGTTGAAGTCCGATTTCTTTCCGAGGACCAAAGCACAAACTCTCAGCCTCCTGAAACGAAAGAAAAACCAGAAAGTGGAAACAAGTTGGCTTTTGCTTCTCCTTCCATCCCTTTCCCAGCGTTGAGGAGATGTCTCTGGGATTGTAGGAACGTAGGTTCCCTCCCCTAGGTCCAGGAACGGGAACATTTTTTTCTCTCGCGTCCGTGCACGTGTGTGTAGAGAACCAGGAAGAGAGGCATCGTGTACGAGAAACTGGGTGGTCCTGGATGGGACAGTTGATGGAGGACATCTTGGACTCTAACCATGAGTCTGGCCTACAAGGGGTAGTAAGTTCTGATAACACTGCAGGGCTTCTGTCCCACCACCTCTCTCTCGCCCTCCTGTATCCTACAGCAGAGGTCCTCAACTGTGGCAACTTTAAGACTTGTGGACTTCAACTCCCAGAATTCCTCAGCCAGCTTTGCTGGCTGAGGAATTCTGGGAGTTGAAGTCCACAAGTCTTAAAGTTGCCACAGTTGAGGACCCCTGTCCTACAGTATTTCAGACCCATATCAGCTCTAAGGCCCTCTCTCTCCACGTGAGCAAAAACCAGGATGATGGCCTGTTGGGTTAGATAAGCTGTTGTAGTGAAGCAAACCAAGGCAAGCCCACTCCTTGGAACGGTGTTGTCCACAACTCTGCTGTGCTATGCCTGACTCACGGCGGCGGCCATGGTTTCTAGCCTCTTTCAGTGCTTCTCGAGAATGATGCAAGTGTGCTCCGAGGGATTATCGGCTGTTCCTGGCCAACTGGAGAAGGAGGGTCCCATTCACCCTTGGGTGCTTAGCAGTGCTTGGAGGGGCTTGGGATTTCCAGAGAAAGTGCCTTTTATTCCACCAGACCAGAGCCCTCTTACCTGCAACTTGCTTCTTGAAAAGAAGAAGAAAGAAAGAAAAAAGAAAGAAAGAACGAACATCCCATCTCTCAAACTCGCTTATCTTGAGATTATTCCCAGTGCAGAGCATTTACTCCTAAGTCACATCCCGGTGCAGGATAAAGCCTGAAGGAGCTACATAGCCACCTTGTTCGTTGTTTCCCCACCAAACACGGGCGGGAGAGAATGACACAACTGTCAGAAGTCAACACGTGAGAGTAGGAAGCGTGGGACCAGTCCAGAACAAGGCCAGGCTGATTGGCCGGAATGCAAGATTCGGTGCAATCCATGTTGGGCCTCTCCACCCCAAACAAACCGGAATGCAGAGGGATCTCCAAATGGATCAGACCCGATGTGGGCAAAGAGGCCGATCTCTGTTCTCTCTAAGGGACACATTTATTCAAAGTCAAACAAAGATGGTTCCTCTCGTAAGACCGGAAAGGGACCACGTAGAATAGTTCAGCGAGGACAATTGGCCACAGCCACATGGACGCGCCCACTTCATCGGAGCCACCAGTCTTCCAGCCAGGATCATACTCAAAAGAATCCAATCAACTCCGGAAGCTCTTTCCCAGCCTTAGCAGCTCAGGTTCCCCGTAGATCATTTTTGGCTGGAGGATCAGTGGTGGGGTTCAAATTGGCGAACAATCGGTTCTCTGCGTGGATGCCGTTTCCGGAAGTCCGTTCTGGGCCTGGGCAACGAAAGATTAAGCTACCGGTTCTGGTGCGAACTGGCTGAATCCCACCACTGTGGAGGATCCCTACTTTTATTTGGGTGAGAAACACCGAAAGAGCGTTTGATCCCAGTCTGGGCTCTTTTCTTTTTTCTCACGATCTTCGACTTTGCACGATCAACCTAGAAAGTCTCGGGGCCCAAGCTGCCTTTTTTTTTTTTTTTAGGTAACCAGGAAGGAAAACTGCCTTAAAAAAAAAAGCCAGCTGCTTGGGAATCTAAGTGGGGCTTTTGGGGGGGGGGGTTAGATCGATCGAGCAGAATGATGCTGGACAAACAGCCGTTTGTGTCAGGGCTATGAATTTTGGGGGGGAATTTGCAGGGTAGACACAAGCCAATCTGATTGCGGATGAAGGGAGCCTAACCTCATCTTTAACAACAGGAACAAAAATTTCTGTCCTTCTGGAGAGAATTTATTATATAGAGCAGTGTCTCTTGACTTTGCTCGCTTTTAAGATGGGAGAATTCCGGGAGTTGAAGTCCACCCGTCTTAAAACAGCCAAGGTTGAGAAACACTTCATCATAAAAGATTCTTCCCAATCTGGTATCCACCTCCAGCAGCGTTAGGACTGCAAATCCAACTATCCTCGCTGGGGAGTATGGGAATTGCAGTCCCAACCCAGCTGAATTGGGGTGGGGGGAGGGAAATATGAATTCAGTCCCAAGCGGTTACAAAGGTATCGCGGGAAAACCGCTGCAAGCCGTTGGCTAACCACAGAACGGAGTTCCGAGTTGTAAATATTCATGCCAAACCTTCCTTTATTTGTGCGTGAGAAGAATGCTCATTTTTTTCCTTATTTATTCGGTTGTTGCTTTCCAGCCTTTTGCCTCTTCCCCCCACCCCACCTGAACCCCTCCAGAAATATATTTATTCCTGCTCTTGGGAATGAAGCTTTCTGATGACGATTAAAGGGTTACACGCAGACTCTTGTCTCCTAACAGGTCTGGTCTTCTTTCCGAAAAAGAAAAAAAATGCGCTGCCACATTTGGTGGGATTTTGATTTTTAGACGGTTGAATGGCCTACGGTAGGCAAATGAAGGGGACACACACACACACACACACACACACACCAAGGAAGTCCACCAAGCACTTTACGTCCCTTACCCTGCCTTAAGAGTCTGAGCGTGCCTCAACCTTAGCAACCTGAAGATGTGTGAATGCTGGCTGGGGAACTCCAGGAGTTGAAATCCACCCATCTTCAAACCATGTTATATATGCGGCATGACACAGTGAGACGTTTGCAAATCTGCACTTTGGAGAAACAAAATGGCCACTTCACAAACACCTGGCACAACACAGGAGAACAAACCCATCGGGACGAGATCCAGCAGTCCACCTGCGTTTGAAAGACCTTCTTTTGAAGACCGCAAAGTCCACAACTTGGACAGAGAGGACTGCTGGTTTGAAAGAGGGGTCAATAGAGGCCATCTACATTAAGACTGAAGAGCCCTCTCTCAACGGGGAGGGATATGACACCGCCCATCTCCAGTGTACAACACAATCAGCAGTTCCAAGAAGATTCCCCATCCATTTGCACTGTTCGGGTGACCCCGAGGGCACAGATAAGGCTCCAAAAGGCCTTAATAATTCTCAGAAAGAGTACTAATGACCAGATGACTGCAAGGCAAATACATCCTTCCATTCTCTACCATTTAGTCAGAACTGAAGAAGCTTCTTGGATGAGAAACAAAACCAAGGAAAAATAAAGTCCTGTTGCCTCTTGGAAAAGCAGCTTTGGGGCACGCTTCTTCAGTTTGCTAAGGTTGAGACACACTCAGAATGTCACTACTTGCCAGCCACATCACCGGAAGCAGAACAAGGCTAGGCCATCATGTTTCTTCCACGAGAAGAGTGCACTTCAGTGGGACAGTCTAGGAATGTCGGGGGCCCTTTGATGACTTGTGGACTTCAACTCCCAGAATTCCTCAGCCAGGATGCTGTAAGACAGTCTTCCAACTTGGCCCTTTGATGACTTGGGGACTTCAACTCCCAGAATTCCTCAGCCAGGATGCTTTAAGACAGGGGTCTTCAAACTTGGCCCTTTGATGACTTGTGGACTTCAACTCCCAGAATTCCTCAGCCAGGCACGCTGGCTGGCTAATTCTGGGAGTTGAAGTCCACAAGTCATAAAAGGTTCATAGTTCCCTCATGCCTGGCTGAGGAATTCTGGGAGTTGAAGTCCACAAGTCATAAAAGGGCCAAGCTTGAAGACCTCTGTCCTAAGCTATATTGTAAGACCTCTTTTTTCCTACTACTTTAGAGTAAGCTGTTTGAGATCCCAGATCTTGCTTCTGGTGGGCAGGGAAGGGCTTGTACTGACACAGAACTCAGCTACCCCCAGTACCTTACTATCACTCAGCTCGTTCCTTTCCATGGAGACCTACAGCCTGATCCTTATTCCTTGTCATTCGAAGAAGGCCAAGTGGTCTTCGGAATGGGGACATCCCGGCCGATCCCCTGGGGTGGTTTTATTTGAGTTTGGGTGGGAAATGGCACCAGTGACCCCCCTCTTTTTTTTTTTTTCCAAGCCAAAGGACTACAATCTGGCCCTTTGGCTGTCCCTGTCCAGCCCACATGGTTTGCTTTTAGAATTAGAATAACAAGAGTTGGAAGGGACCTTGTGGGTCATCTAGTCCAACCCCCTCCCAAGCAGGAGACCCTACTCCATTTCTGACAGAAGGCAGTCCAGTCTCTTCTTGAAACTCTCCAGTGATGAAGCTCCCACAACTTCTGAAGGCAACTCCTGTTCCATTGGTTGATTGTCCTCACTGTCAGGAAGTTTATTTCCAGGTTGAATCGCTCCTTGATCAGCTTCCATCTGTTATTCCTTGTCTGGCCTTTGGGTGCTTTGGAAAATAGGTGGACCCCCTCCTCTCTGTGACAGACCCTCAAATATTGGAAGATGGCTATCACATCTCCCCTGGTCCTTCTCTTCATTAAACTGGACATACCCAATTCCAGCAACCGTTCCTTATATGTTTTAGCCTCCATTCTCCTGACCTTCTTTGTTGCTCTTCTCTGCACTCTTTCTAGAGTCTCAACATCTGAGTGGAGACCAAAACTGGATGCAGTCATTCCAGGTGTGGCCTTACTAAGGCTTTATAAAGTGGTATTAGTACCTCACGCGATCTTGCTCAAATCCTTCTGTTAATGCAGCTTTTATTTTAAAGCCAACTGTTATTTTTTCCCCAGTGCACTTATGCGTGTGCATCCATGCCTAATGTACCGATCACTTCACTATGAGCCAGCAGTGGGCAGCAGCAGCCAAAAAAGTGATTTTTGAGGTCTTTTGACAGTTTCCAGTGTTTGCTTCCAATTTCTGGCAAAAAAAAAAAAAAAAAAAAAAAGCCCATGGGTAAAATGGATTGACTTAAGGACTGCTGCGTTTGTTTAATGCTTGCAAACAATCCTGTAAAATCAGGTGGATGACCTGCCTAATGACTGTAATGATTGATGATATTAATTCTGGGCTCAATTACAGTGATAATTGGAGTGTTTTATCAGTCAGAGGCAGCTGGTGGAAAAATAGCCTTGACCACCCACTCCAGCAAACAGGATTCAATTGTTGTTGTTCTTTTATTTATGTTTTATGAAGATTTTTTTTCCGTAGAATAGAAGCCAAATCAAAAGAAAACAGGAAAGAGGAAAAAAAAAGTGCAAGCAATTAAAAAGAGAAAAAACCCCTCCGATTTAAGAAACATAGGAGTGACTTCTTGACCTTTGCAAATTATAGTTACAATCTTATTGTAATTTCTCTCTTGAGTCTTTATACAAGTCCCTTCTGCCTCTCATTTAACCCACATTAAATTAATTAACACATTTCAGGGTGTTTTTTTATACCCTCATGGCTCCTAAACCTTGCATTCTATCTAGCTTTCCACCGAAGGCAAGGCAAATACTCCTTTTATGAGAAATAGATTATATACTGTAAAATGATGCCTGGGAGAAACCAGGAAAATAACAGTCTGAAACTGGTTGAATCAGTCTGTTGAGCTGAGCAATGGCAGGCCAAAACTTTGCATTCCTTTTATTGTTTCCTTCACAAGTTCATTTAGCTCAATGTCTCTAGTTTTCCTAAAGCTACATTGGAACATTGCTATCATGTCCTCCCTCGTCCTTCTCTTCATTAAACTAGACATTCCCAATTCCAGCAACTGTCCTTTATATATTTTAGCCTCCAGTCCAAATCATCTCTGTTGCTCTTCTCTGCACTCTTTTCAAAGTCTCAGCATCTTTTTTTACATTGTGGCGACCAAAACTGGATGCAGGATTCCAAGTGTGGCCTTACCAAGGCGTTGTAAAGTGGTATTAACACTTCACCTGATCTTGATTCGATCCCTCTTTTAATGCAGCCCAGCACTGTGTTGGCTTTTTTGGCAGCTGCAGCACACGACTCTAGCATGGAGAGTGTCAAGAGAGAGACATGGCGTACACTTGAGGCACACTTTTTTGTTGTTGTTGCCGTAGACCTTTTTCCCAAGACTAACATCCGGCACTGGAAGGGACTTCTAAAGTCAATCCTCAAGTCCAAGCAGCACCGTCGCTGTTAAATAAAATTGCAAAAAAGCACAGAAACTGGTCTTCAAACACCACACGGCCAATGGCTTCCACGGAGAAGGAATCTTCTCAAACGTCCAGATAGAACAGGAGTTTTAAAACTTGGCCCTTTGATGACTTGTAGACTTCAACTCCCAGAATGCCTCAGTTGGCCATTTTGATGAAACTGCAGGCTTGGATCCAGACCAGGGGCCTTCAAACCTGGCCCTTTTATGACTGGTGGACTTCAACTCCCAGAATTCCTCAGTTGGCCATTTTGATGAAACTGCGGGCTTGGGGATCCAGACCAGGGGCCTTCAAACCTGGCCCTCTGATGACTTGTGCCTGGCTGAAGAATTCTGGGAGTTGAAGTCCACAAGTCATCAAAGGGCCCAGTTTGAAGACCCCTGAGTAAGAAGGATCCTGCATAATCTTACCGTCAGCCAAATGTCTATGGAGATTCTCCGTCATCCAGGTCCTGGTTTTCCCAAAGCTGCTTTTTCAAGATGCAACTGGACTGCCTTGTTTTTTTCCTTTGGAGACGTTTTGCTTTTCACTTGAGAAGCTTCTTCAGCTCTGACTGGATGGTGAGGAATGGAAGGAGTTATACTCCTTGCAGACAGTTGGTCATTTTCCTTTTTTATTCATTCATTTCCATTCATTATTCATCATTTGCATCCTTTTAGAGAGTTGTTGAGGCCACTTGGAGATTTGTCTGTGACCCCAGGGTCACCTGAGTAATACAGATGGGTTATGGATAAACCCGTTTGCGCTACTACTACAAACCCCCAAGTGGCCTCAACGACTCTCTAACAGGATGCAAATGACCAGCTGTCTGCAAGGAGTATAAATCCTTTCCCACCATCCACTCAGAGCTGAAGAAGCTTTTTGGAGGAGAATCCAAACATCTTCAAATATAAACAAGACAGTCCAGTTGCCTCTTGAAAAAGCATCTTTGGGAGAAGGATGAAAAGGAAAGAGGAAGAGGAAGATGGGAGGGAAAGAGGGAGAAGGATAGGAGAGAGAGACAGAGACAGAAAAGAAGGAAGGAAGAAAAAAGAAAGAAAGAAAAAGAAAGAAAAAAGAAAGAAAGAAAAAAGTCAGCAAGGAGTAGAAATCCTTCCTTTCCCCACCATCCAGTCAGAGCTGAAGAAGCTTCTGTGCATGAGAATCGAAACGTCTTCAAAGGAAAAACAAGAAGATCCAGTTGCCTCGTGAAAAAGCACCTTTGGGGCACAAACACTCGTGTTTTGCAGCTTCAGGATGGTCGCCCTGCCCACAGCTTTCCGGTGGATCAGTTCACCAAAGAGAGCCTTGTTGGCCCCACAATCACCAGTCACCTTGTCCCCATGTCCCCAGTCTTCCAAACAGCGCCGTATCCAGCATGTTGGGCCAGATAAATTCTTACAGTTCTGGTAATGGAAGTCCTGCAACCATTGGACCATCCCAAGAGCAGCTTCAAACTGTCCCCAGAAGAAAGCAGTCGGTGCCTAGCTGGGAAGAAAAGCCCATTCCCAGCTACTCACATCGGGCTCTAGAACAGGGGCTGCCCCAAAGAAGAGGCAGTCAAGCTATTCTCCAAAGCGCCTGAAGGCAGGACAAGAAGCAACGGATGGAAACCAATCAAGGAGAGAAGCAACCTAGAACTAAAGAGAAACTTCCTGACAGGGAGGACAATTCACCAGTGGAACAGCCTGCCTCCAGAAGCGGTGAATGCGCCAACACTGGAGGTTTTTAAGAAGAGACTGGACAGCCATTTGTCCGAAATGGTCTAGGGTTTCCTGCCTGAACAAGGGGTTGGACTAGATGACCTCCAAGGTCCCTTCCAGCTCTGTTATTCTGCAAGTACCTCCTGCTTGAGCAGGGGGTTGGAGTAGAAGACCTCCAATGTCCCTTCCAACTGTTATTCTGCAAGGGTCTCCTGCTTGAGCAGGGGGCTGGACTAGAAGACCTCCAAGGCCCCTTCCAGCTCTGTTAACTCTGGCGTCTCCCCATCTAAGCACCGATTGGAGAAAGGTTACACGCTAGCTGCATATGTCATCCTAAAACAAACCAACAAACTAGGGTTCAGCCCTGGTTTGGAACTCTGAAAACGTTCGACCTAGATGAGTCCCCCCCAAAAAAGGGGGGGAATATAATTGTCCCCCTCCATCCTCAATAAGAGACTGAGCATCAAGAGAGGAAATCTGGAGCAGGTGGAAGTGGCACCATCCACCAAGTAGATTGTCCTTAACGTTTCGGTCTTCCTAACTCTACTCTTCTCCCTGGTTGTGGATCCTGCACACCTTGTCTTGAAGCCCAAAGGGGGAAGCTTTGTGGTTCTGCCTGCCCTCACCCACTCCCACCCCCCATAACATCCTCTCCTGTTGGCCACCCTCTTGGTACCAAGCCACTGCCGCTGTCCTCCTAGCCTTCAGAGGCAGTTTGATGTCCTAACTTCCTGTTCTCCCATAAGCCTTTTCGCATCTGTCTCCTCACTAGGGACTGCAACCCCCCTTCCCCCCAATTTGGGCTGAAGAGAGCTGTGCCCTTCTTCCCAAGGACAGGCCAGCCCACCCTCTATTTTGCCAAGCTGGGCCTTGGGTGGCCCCCGGTCCCCAGCTATTCCTCCACAGGGAACGCTTTCTAGGGCAGTGGTTCTCAACCTTTTTAATGCCGCGACCTCCAACCGGTCGTAAGTCGAGGACTACTCAACTGGTGCAGTACCGTTTGCAGAATGGGACTTTTGGTGGGCTCAGCAGGGCAGAGACAGCCTGGACAATTCCCATTGGCTTTTGAAAGCCAATAGAATTAGACTCTATTCAAGAAAGTCTATTTTATTGGCTTTCAAAAGCCAATAGAATAAAAGGGAGCAGCACAGCTAAGGAAAAGGGGAGAAAAAATGGCGGACAGCGTTGTTTGGCGACCCCCGTGAAATGGCCGTTCGACCCCAAATGGGGTCCCGACCCACAGGTTGAGAACCACTGGTCTAGGGTCTTCCCAAATTCTCACCCCGGAGATCCCGGTAAGATTCGAAACCACTTCCGTTTCAAAGTCCCTCCAGCCCAACCTCCAACAACGAACGCCCAGGAAAAAATAATAATAATAATAATAAAAAATTCACCGACCAGGCAAGACGGCCACCCACCGTTATCTGGTCTCCGCTACCTGGTCTTAAAAGAGGCAGCCATCCCATAATGACGAGAACTTCATCTTAAGTCGTCAGGAAGTTTAGTGGTGCAGAATTAATTTCTCTCCCAAGGCACATTTTTTCCCCTCCCTCCCTCCCTCGCCCCCCCACCCCCCCACCCACAAAGCAAGGTGATACAACGCTGGTCCCCAAATGAGTCTCGTCTGAAGAGATCCCAGAACATCTGCCAGGTGGAATGTCCATCCCCTTCTCCAGTCCGGAGATGACGATGGGGCTGGGCACGAACTGTGGGGGCTCAGCGGCCCGCTGCGTTATCCCCCAGCGCGAAGGGGAGGGTCCCGGAGCTGCAGCTTTTGCTGCGCTTGCTCTTCCGCCCCCAGGCCAGGAGACCCCCGGTGGCTTTGCTGGGCAGGGGGGACTTGCGGCTGTTCTCTTTGTTGCTTTTCAGCACAGCAGCCGCGCCGGATGTTGTGGCTGTCGGCTTCTTGTCCAACTTCTGGAGGGTAGAAAAAGAGGATAGAATAATGTTATTGACACTTTAAATGTACATGAATACGTTAAGATGAGATCTTCATTGTACGCCGTTCTCAGGAGGTATCCAGCTCCAATATACACTGCGTAAACACAACCAAAATAATAATAATAATAACAACAAGAAATCTGGCAGATTGTGTGATGATTAATAATAATAAACATAATACACATAATAAGCAATAGAATAGAATAGAATAGAATAGAATAGAATAGAATAGAATATAGTAGAATAGAACAGAACAGAATAGAATAGCAAATATGGAATAGAATAGAATAGCAAATATGGAATAGAATAGAAAATATAGAATAGAATAGAATAGAATAGAATAGAATAGAATAGAATAGAATAGAATAGAATAGAAAATATGGAATAGAATAGAAAATATAGAACAGAGAACGGAATGGAATGGAATAGAATAGAATAGAATAGAATAGAATAGAATAGAATAGAATAGAATAGAATAGAATAGAATAGAATAGAAAATATGGAATAGAATAGAAAATATAGAACAGAGAACGGAATAGAATAGAATAGAATAGAATAGAATAGAATAGAATAGAAAATATGGAATAGAATAGAAAATATAGAACAGAGAACGGAATGGAATGGAATGGAATAGAATAGAATAGAATAGAATAGAATAGAATAGAATAGAATAGAATAGAATAGAATAGAAAATATGGAATGGAATTGAATGGAATGGAATAGAATAGAATAGAATAGAATAGAATAGAATAGAATAGAATAGAATAGAATCTGGAAGGGATCCTGGAGGTCTTCTAGTCCAGCCCCCTACCCAACCAGGAGAATCTATACCGTCTCAGACAGATGACTGTCCAGTCTCTTCTTAAAATCTCCAGTGATGGAGCACCCACAATTTCTGTGGCAAGTTGTTCCACTGGTTGATTGTCCTCACTGTCAGGAAGTTTCTCCTTAGTTCCAAGTTGCTTCTCTCCTTGATCAGTTTCCAACCATTGTTTCTGGTCCTTCCCTCTGGTGCTTTGGTGAACAACCTGATCCCCCACTTCTTTGTGGCAGCCCCTCAGATACTGGAACACTGCTATTATGTCTGCCCTATTTCTTCTTTTCTTTAGACTAGCCAAACCCAAGTCCTGCAGCCGTTCTTCATACGTTTTAGTCTCCAGGCCTTGGATCATCTTAGTTGCTCTTCTCTGAACTTTTTCCAAACTCTCAACATCTTTTTTGTGATATGGTGACCAAAATTGGCTGCAGTATTCCAGGTGTGGCCTCACTAGGGTTTTATAAAGCGGAACTAACACTTTGCATGATCTTGATTCTATGCCTCTGTTTATACAACCCAGGATAGTATTAGCTTTTTTGGCTGCTGTTGCACACGGCTGGCTCATAGTCAAGTGATCGTCCACTAGGACTCCAAGGTCCCTCTTACAGTGGCTGTTTTTATTAAATAATTAAATATTAAATAATAATGATAAATATTAAATAATAATGATAAATATTAAATGATGATGATAATAATAATAATAATAGTAGTAGTAGTAATAATAACTGTGCGATGATCCATAATAATAATAATAATAATGTTGGAAGGGACCTTGGAGGTCATCTAATCCAACCCCCTACTCAGGCGGGAAACCCTATACCACTACAGACAAATGGCTGTCCAGTCTCTTCTTAAAAACTTAAAAACAACAACAACAATAATTTACCAACATGCACACACACATATGACCCAGAGAAAAAACACAATCTAGTTCGGGTGTACACAGATACATGCCAAGGAAAACGAATCTTGCGAATTTACCAGACAGAGAAAAAGGAAGGCCAGAAGGATCAAGAAAAAGGTTTAGTCTTCGCCTTACGACCACAACTGAGCTCCAGGTTTGCGTGGCTAAGCGAGACCTTTACGCGAGGGAGTTTTTGCCCCATTTTAAGACTTTTCTCACCCCAGTTGTTAAGGGAATCACTGCCACTTATTCAGTTAGCAACCTGGTTCTTAAGTCAATCTGGCTTGCCCATTGCAGGTCGCAAAAGGGGATCCCGGGACACTGCAACCATCGTAACTACGAACCAGTTGCCAAGCGTCCCAAATTTTGATCACGTGACCACGGGGGGGAGGGGAATAACGCAACAGTCCTAAGGGTGAAACACGGCCAGAAGTCAATTTTTTCAACACCCTTGTTCACTCCCTGTCAAAGATGGCGAGCCTTCTTAAGAGACACCCCTCCCCCAAGGTTCCAGAACAATTGGGTTCCACCGTATCCCATCATCCACCGCCCCCGCCCCCCCTCCTCCTCGCCTTACCGCACTCTGCCCTTCCGGGGGCAGCAGGGTGATGACGCCCACCTTCACCCCTTCCTCTCCGGCCACCTTCAGCAGCTGCACCACGTCGGCGTGTTTGGACCACCTGCAGTCTTGGCCGTTGATGGAGACAATGTAGTCCCCTTCCTTCAAGCCAGCTTCCTGTCCAGATAGAAGCGGGCGTGATTTTGCTGGAGTTGGTTCAGGTGGGGGGAGAGGGGGGAGACCCTGGGGAAGGTCATCCGGGAAAGAGCGACGCAAGACGAACACGCCGCAGGAGGGGCACGGAAAAAGAGGTAGGGTTGGAAACACGTCACCCGAATTAGCTCCATCAAAACAACTCCCCCCACCCTACCCCGTTGTTTGCCATCTGGCAGCTGGTCTTCTGGACACTCGGCGTTAGCGAGATCGGTTTACCTCTCGGCTGCCGACAGACTATCCTTCTCGGCCATTAATTTTGCATGCTCTCCCTTTGAGGTTCCTCACGGTGGCCGAGGTCACCCCCTTCTTGGTTGACTTGAGCGATGAAGTACGTCCTTGTGTCTGCGTCCAGGGACTCAGATTCCACCTATCTGTTCTCCCAGGCCCCCAAATCCTTAGAGAGGCATCTGTTTTTGTAGATGCACGGACACGGCTCTTATTGGCCGAAGACCAACCTAACTGGCTAAGAACCAACTGACCCGTCTGATCAACTTCGTTGGGTGTTCTTCAGCTTCTACTGAATGACTCCCAGCATCAGATTTCCACCCTGACCCAAGGCTGCCCCTGTCAGCTGCCTTCTGACACCCGCTTGTGTGCTTTGACAGTCTGCGTGAACTCTGGGGAGGGTGGGGGGAAAGCGTAACTTCTGCATCTCCTTGAGATGCTGCTTCAAGGTAACCCAGCTGGGAGGAGAAAGCAGCTGCACACCAGCCTACGTCATCGTTCTGAAAGCATCTTGCTTCAACCCGACTCGTCATATGGGGGGGGGGTCAGTGATGGGAGGCAATTAAGAGGGGTTTTGGCGGGCGATTCTCCGTGCTACGCGTTCCTGCGATGCACTGTGGCTTCTAATAAAACTGTACGGTCCTCGACAAATGGAGCCAACAGCTGGCAGGTCCGACAGCCCCTCCAAAACACACTGGGAATACCCTATGCCAGTGGTGGCGAACCTATGGCACACGTGCCAGAGGCGGCACTCAGAGCCCTCTCTGTGGGCACATGCGCCATGCCCCAGAGATGGCAACTAGTAATAATAATAATACTAATAATAATGATAAAGTTGGAAGGACCTTAGAGGTCATCTGGTCCAACCCCCTGCTCAGGCAGGAAACCCTATACCAATGGTTCTCAACTTGTGGGTCGGGACCCCATTTGGGGTCGAACGACCATTTGACGGGGGTCGCCAAACAACGCAGTCCGCCATTTTTTTCCCCCTTTTCCTTAGCTGTGCTACTCCCTTTTCTTCTCTTGGCTTTCGAAAGCCAATAGAATAGACTCTCTTGAATAGACTCTAATTCTATTGGCTTTCCAAAGCCAATAGGAATTGTCCAGGCTGTCTCTGCCCTGCTGAGCCCGCCAAAAGTCCCATTCTGCAAACGGGGCTGCACCAGTTGAGTAGTCCTCGACTTACGACCGGTTGAGTAGTCCTCGACTTACGACCGGTGGGGGGTCGCGGCATTAAAAAGGTTGAGAACCACTGCCCTATACTATTGCGGACAAATGGCTGTCCCGTCCCTCCTGGCCTCGCATGCGCTCCTTTTCCTGGGCACGACCCATTGCATTGCCTTCTCAGCTGTTGGCTGGCCATCCAACTCAGAGGCGGCGTCTTTGAACTGCTGGCAGTGGGCTGCAGAGCGCCAGAGTGCGCCGGTCGAGGGGCCAGCAGGCTGTGGCTGCTGATGGACACTCATGGCTCTCATGTGCTCGCTGGCCTCTGTGTGTGGGGGCCGATGGTGTCAGGCAGCAGCTGCCCTGGCCCTTGCCTTACCCCATGTCAATGGCACCCCTGCCCTGCCTCGCCTCACCCCGCAGGACGAGTCTCCTGCCCACCGCCCCACCTGCCAGAGACCGCCTGGATCTCCCCCAACCCTGCCCGGCCCCCACAGGTGTCCCTCCCCACGAGCAACATTGAGGTGACCACGCCCATCTTGGCCACACCCACCCAATCTGCCACGACCACCATAGCCACGCCCACTCAGTGGGCCACACCCACCCGGCACCCGGCGATAAATAAGTGGGTTTTGGGTTGCAGTTTGGGCACTCGGTCTCTCAAAGGTTCGCCATCACTGGCCTAGAAGATTTCCAAAGCAACCTGGACCCCACCTTGGCGGTTACAGGACCGGGCAACTCACCGCCGCGCACCCACCAGCGATGATCCCGGCAACCAGGACTGGTGAGTCGCCTCGGAGGGTGAATCCAAAGCCGTTTGCTCCGCGGACCAAGTGCACCGTCCGTGCGGGATGCCACTTATTTTTGGCCGAGAAAATGGACAGGGGCCCCTAAGGCGGAAAAACAAAAACAGAGGGATGGTGCGCTACAGGGCAGGGAGAGATGGGGCTGGGCTGAGCCACCAGGACGTTCAGACATTACACTAGTTAACAGAAGGGAATATTTGTAGCTCTGGGATGAACTTGGTGCTCTCTGAGCTGGGTGGTTTTCTTGCAGACGTTTCATGGCGCAACTAGGGAACATCATCAGTGCTAGAAGGGAGGAGGAGGACTGTGGGGTCCCTGGTGCTCTCTGAGCTTGGCTGTTTTCTTGCAGACAGTGCTAGAAGAATGTGGGGTTTGCAGAGAAGAGGAGGAGGAGGAGGAGGAGGAGGAATGTGGGGTCCTTGATGCTCTCTAGTTTGCTGGTCACCTGTTCCTTCTGTGTTGGGAGTTTATCAGCAGCTGGCAGAGGACAGCTGACACTTGGCTGTTTTCTTCCAGACATTTCATGACCCAACTAGGGAGCATCATTAGTCCTAGAAGGGAGTGGGATTTGCAGAGAGGAGGAGGAGGAGGAGGAGGAGGAGGAGGAGGAGGAGAACTGTGGGGTCCTTGGTGGTCTGTGAACTTGGTGATTTTCTTGCAAATGTTTCATGACCCAATTAGGGAACTTTATCAGTGCTAGAAGAATGTGGGGTTTGCTCTCTAGAGATTAGAGATCTAAAGATTAATATCAAGACTAGATCAATTATCAAACAACCAACAAGACACCACCAAGGATCCTCCTCCTCCTCCTCCTCTTCCTCCTCTTCCCTTTCTCCTCCTCCTCCTCCACTGCAAACACCCACTCCCTTCTAGCACTGATGACGTTACCTAGTTGGGTCATGAAATGTCTGCAAGAAAGCCACCAAGCTCAGACACCACCAAGGATCCATCTCCTCCTTCTCCTTCTCCTCCTCTTCCCTTTCTCCTCTTCCTCCTCCACTGCAAACACCCACTCCCTTCTAGCACTGATGATGTTCCCTAGTTGGGTTATGAAACGTCTGCATGTAAACAACAAGCTCAGAGAACACCAAGGAGTCCCCATTGCAGTTGTCACTCTGATCACTCTTCCCCATTAACTCTCACAGAAAGATGCTTCTCCAAGCCTACTGAACCAATGTGGAGAGCCTCTGCTAGATTGTTCTCCACAAGTGACTTCATGTCCTTTGGATTTCTCCACGCTTATGGCTACTCCTGCTTAACTGAGCAGTAAATTTTGAAGCTCAGTTACAAGTTGGGCAGAGGGAAACAGCCAAGGAGAAGATCACTCTTCTTTTGAGAGGATACCAAAACCTCATCTACTTTGGTGATGGGACACAAGGAAGTATGACCTAGACCAGGGCTAGGCAATCTTGGCTCTTTTATGACTCGTGGACTTCAACTCCCAGAATTCCTGAGCCAGCAGGGCCCAGCTTGGAAACCTCTCCCTTTCTCCTCAGCGTAGCTGGCTCAGGAATTCTGGGAGTTGAAGTCCACGAGTCGTAAAAGAGCCAAGGTTCCTACCCCTGCCCTAGACCAGGGGTGAGGAATCTTGGCTCTTTTATGACTTGTGGACTTCAACTCCCAGAATTCCTGAGCCAGCATGGGGAACTATGGCCCCTTCATGACTGGTGGACTTCAACTCCCAGAATTCCTGAGCCAGCATGGGGAACTATGGCCCCTCATGACTGGTGGACTTCAACTCCCAGAATTCCTGAGCCAGCATGGGGAAACTATGCCCCTCTCATTACCTGTGGACTTCAACTCCCAGAATTCCTGAGCCAGCCTGGCTCAGCTTGGAAACCTCTCCCTTTCCCCTCAGCGTGGCTGGCTCAGGAATTCTGGGAGTTGGAGTCCACGAGCCATAAAAGAGCCGAGGTGGCCTACCCCTGACCTAGACAAAATTATTCTACTTGTCCAAGCTGAGAAAAGTAGAACGGAAAGATAATGTGTTGGTTGACTGGAAAAATCTTTGGAAGAGCTACCGATTACCCCTGACAAAGCTGAGGAAAGGACGGACAGAATCAAGGAGATGATGAAACATCTGTCCTTGGAAATAACTATGAATGATTGCTGGAGACAAAGTGCGATGGTGAACGTCGGTTCTTGCAATCTCCTGGACTTAGAATGGACTTGAGGGCAACTAAGTCTATCAGGAAGCTCCAATTTTTACTCCATCAGCTTGTGTCCATCCACTTTCCTGGGTCAAAGCGGGAGAAGCATGCATTGATATGCACAAGTGTACACTGGAAATCACAACACACAGGATTTTTTTTTAGCTCCGGTTCTTTCAAGAACCGTCCGCACAACACGGTCCTCTCGCAGCAGGTATCAAACTTACCAGCCGATGAAAGATGTCTGTGATTTTCACCTTGGAGAAATTGGGAGATTTGATTTCAGGTCTCTGGTGTGTTTTGGCTAGAAAAACACAAGAAGAGGGGAGAACGTTACAACTTGGGAACTTGGTTCCTTCCATACTTTAGTTCACCCTGAAGACAGGCCTAAAACGACAAAAGTGTGTTTTCTATGCATCTAAATACAGAATTTGACCCTTGGGCAAGTTCCTAGTCCTTCAGCCTAGAGCAGGGCTAGGCCACCTTGGCTCTTTTATGACTCGTGGACTTCAACTCCCAGAATTCCTGAGCCAGCCATGCTGAGGGGAAAGGGAGAGGCTTCCAAGCTGAGCCAGGCTGGCTCAGGAATTCTGGGAGTTGAAGTCCACGAGTCATGAAGGGGCCAAAGTTTCCCTCATACTAGCTCAGGAATTCTGGGAGTTGAAGTCCACGAATCATAAAAGAGCCAAGGTTGCCTACCCCTGGACTAGAACAACCTAGAACATTTCAGAACTTCTGAAAAAGAGCCGGGATGAGACTTAGAATTTCAGAAGCCATGAAGGGAGAGTTGAACACAATTCAGTGAGCATAATCAGTCCTTTGATCCTTCACGAAACACCAAAGCAAGATGTCTTTGATACTGGTCAACGGAGGCCATGATTAAACCCAACCTTGTTGTGTTGTCTGCTCCAAAAGCTGTTGTTACATGAAAATATAATGTCTGTCACTTAAGGGGTCATGCTGGACTCGTGGTTCCTATCGGAAGAGCAGGTGGAAGCTGTGGCCTAGGGGGTCTTCACCCTGTTTTGGTCAACATGTTAACCCCAACCCATCTAGATGTGGTGACCCTCATTCCTGTCCTTGTCATCACAGGGTAGATTACTGCAATGTATGGCAAGTGGCACCACCCTTGAAGATTGATCAGAAACTGGAATTAGAGCCAAATGGAGCTACTTGCGTGCCAAGAGGCCACAACTGTTATAGCTACCTGGCATCTATGTTGTGGGTGTTGCATTACATGAGATTTCCAGGCACAATTCCAAGTATTAATTTAATCTTTCAAGCCCTGAATGGCTCTGTTTTTAGATATTAGATCTTAGATATTGGATACGACTTAGTGAAAAGAAGGATTAGGGGTGACCCGATAGCCGTCTTCCAACATTTGAGGGGCTGCCACAAAGAAGAGGGGTGTGTGTGTCAACCTATTTTCCAAAGCACCTGACGGCAAGACAAGAAATACTGGATGGAAACTCATCAAGGAGGGAAGCAACCTGGAGAAGCTTCCTAACAGTGAGAACAATGAACCAGTGGAACAACCTGCCTCCAGAAGTTGTGGGTGCTCATCAAGGGAATTTTTTAACAAGAGATTGGACAGCCATTTATCTGAGTTGGTATAGGGCAGGGGTAGGCAACCTTAGCTCTTTTATGACTCGAGGACTTCAATTCCCAGAATTCCTGAGCCAGCATGGGGGAACTATGGCCACCTCATGACTGGTGGACTTCAACTCCCAGAATTCCTGAGCCAGCATGGGGGAACCATGGCCCCCTCATGACTCGTGGACTTAAACTCCCAGAATTCCTCAGCCAGCATGGGGGAACTATGGCCCCCTCATGACTCGTGGACTTCAACTCCCAGAATTCCTGAGCCAGCATGGGGGAACTATGGCCACCTCATGACTCGTGGACTTCAACTCCCAGAATTCCTCAGCCAGCATGGGGTAACTATGGCCCCTTCAAGACTTGCGGACTTCAATTCCCAGAATTCCTGAGCCAGCATGGCTCAGCTTGGGAACCTCTCCCTTTCCCCTCAGCATGGCTGGCTCAGGAATTCTGGGAGTTGAAGTCCACGAGTCACGAAAGAGCCACGGTTGTCTAGCCCTGGTATAGGGTCTCCTGCTTGAACTGGGGGTTGGACTAGAAGATGTCCAATGTCCCTTCCAACTCTGTTATTCTGTTATTATTCCAATTTTACCCCTTTTTGAGCCAAAAGGATTATTCATTCGAGGCTCAAGGATAGCAAAGGCCAAATTTCTCTAAGTTCACCGAAAAAACAAAAACTTTAAAAAAAAAACCAGTTGCAAGAATTAGGTAGGTCTAGTCAAGAGAAAAGAAGGATTAGGGGTGACATGATAACAGTCTTCCAGTGTTTGAGGGGCTGCCCCAAAGAAGAAGGAGTCAAGCTCTTCTCCAAAGCACCTGAAGGCAGGACAAGAAGCAACGGAAGGAAACTGATCAAGGAGAGAAGCAACCTGGAACTAAGGAGAAATTTCCTGACAGTTAAACAATTAACCAGTGGAACCACCTGCCTCCAGAAGTGGTGAATGCTCCAACACTGGAAGTTTTTAAGAAGAGACTGGACAGCCATTTGTCCGAAATGGAATAGGGTTTCCTGCCTGAGCAGGGGGTTGGACTAGATGACCTCCAAGGTCCCTTCCAACTCTGTTATTCTATATTCTGTTTTCAGATCTAGACAAGCTTGGCACTGGCTCTTGGGAGGCAAAGCTCAATCCATATCCACTTGTCCATTTACCGTCATGGTTCCGACAGACAGAGACGAATAAAGCAAAACTCAAGTCTTGCGAAATCCCTCAAAGAACACATTTATTAGTTACGAAGTACTGGCACGGTCAAGAGTGAAGCCAAGCCTGGATACACACGTAATAATTCCCCAACGCAAAGTTAAAAATCCCTCCCATAAAACTATGCAAGCGACCCCGTTCCCCAATGCAATCATTTGGTGGGCTTTTTCTACGACACCCAGCCTGCCGGCGCGGGAGCAACCCATGACCTTGGTTCCCATGGGACAAAAGATTGCAGTAGTGGCCAAAATTGTGGAAACCTTTTGGGAAAAGTGTACAGTAGAAATGCCACCTTTGGTTAAGTTTCCACCCATTTTCCTTCTAATTTCTTTATAACTGTAGCCTTGTTCACTTAATAATACTATTTTACATTGCTTCCTGGACGACCAGTCAACTCTTTGCACCATGACTTTAATTTTATTACATTTTACAAGCTCACAAAAGGAAAGAACACAAAAAACCCAACCAACTTGATAGCGATCACAGAACACACTGACAAATGTCCTCCTCTCAGCTTCAATAAATAAATAATAATAGTAGTAGTAGTAGTAGTAGTAGTAGTAAAGTTGGAAGGGACCTTGGAGGTCATCTAGTCCAACCCCCTGCTCAGGCAGGAAACCCTATACCATTTCAGACAAATGGCTGTCCAGTCTCTTCTTGAAAACCTTCCAGTGTTGGAGCATTCACCGCTTCTGGAAGCAGGTGGTTCCACTAGTTAATTGTTCTGTCAGGAAGTTTCTCCTTAGTTTTAGGTTGCTTCTCTCCTTGACTAGTTTCCATCCGTTGCTTCTTGTCCTGCCTTCAGGCACCTTGGAAAATAGCTTGACTCTCTCTTCTTTGGGGCAGCCCCTGAGATACTGGAACATTGCTATCATGTCCCCCCTCGTCCTTCTCTTCATCAATCAGTGGATCCTACTGTGATCTGATTGGCTCATGGCCAAAACAAGATGACATCCGATTGGCTCTCTAAGCACTCGTGCTCATTGGCTACAATCAGATGAAGGAAAGCTACCTGAGATCAATCTAAGCAAGTTGTGCTTCCTTTTTCTGGTTATTTGGCTATTTTCATAGAATACAGTACAGATAATTGAACAAACTTTGTTGCATTACATTCTTGATTAAATTATCTTTCTACTGATATACACTTTTATGGTACTGCGCCAAAGAAAAGTGGTGTCATTAGCCATCAAACCTCAAAAATATACTTTTCCCAAAAGGTTTCCACCATTTTGGCCACCACTGTATTATGACGAGCAAAGCATCTGGGCAGCCCCCCTCCTTCTTTTCTATGTGGTGACCCAGAACGAGCAGGAAAATGGCTGCCGCCCTGCTCAGTGGCAGCGCTGACACTCACGGCGAATGTCGGGGGCTTCTGCCGTTTCGAAGAAATCTTCCTCGTGGTCAATTTCGGAATATTTGCTGAGGGAACGTTTGTGGGCCAGCGAGAGGACCTCCTGCAGGATATCCATCTTCCTCAGGATTTTGCACAAGCTGTGGATCCTCATGGCTTCCTCATGCTTGATGATAGCTTTCTTGAGGTGAGCTTTCCCTGTCAAAACACAACACGTGTCCGCCTTGGAGGACTAGAACCCACAGCCCCAACACCAGCCTTGTGTGTTTGGCCACTGGTTGATCACACCTGGAATACTACCTCCAGTTTGGGTCACCACACTACAAAAAAAAAAAAAAAAAAAAAAAAAAGATGTTGAGGCTTTGGGAAAAGTACAAAGAAGAGCAACTAAGATGATTAAAGGCCTGGAGACTAAAAGATATGAAAGAACAGTTGCAGGATTTGGGTATGGCCAGTCTAGAGAAAAGAAGGACCGGGTGGGGGGACAGGATAGCAGTATTCCAGTATTTGAGGGGCTGCCCCAAAGAAGAGGGAGTCAAGCTATTCTCCAAAGCGCCTGAAGGCAGGACAAGAAGCAACGGATGGAAACTAATCAAGGAGAGAAGCAACCTAGAACTAAGGAGAAACTTCCTGACAGTGAGAACAATTAGCCAGTGGAACAACCTGCCTCCAGAAGCGGTGAATGCTTCAACACTGGAGGTTTTTAAGAAGGGACTGGACAGCCATCTGTCCGAAATGGTATAGGGTTTCCTGCCTGAGCAGGGGGTTGGACTAGATGACCTCCAAGGTCCCTTCCAACTTTATTATTATTATTATTGATCATCGCACAGTCAGCCAGATGTTCAGACTGGACTTGGCATTTTTGTCTACCTATCGATGATGATGATGATGATGATGATGATGATGATTAACTTCCCCAGATATCAAGGCAAGCAATTCAACAAGCTTTGAAAAAAGGGGCAAAGAAGAGCAACTAAAATGATTGAAGGCCTGGAGGCTAAAACATACAAGGCCACACTTGGAATCCTGCATCCAATTTTGGTCACCACGATGTAAAAAAGAGGTTGAGACTCTAGAAAGAGTACAGAGAAGAGCAACAAAGAGGATCAGGGGACTGGAGGCTAAAACATATAAGGAACGGCTGCTGGAATTGGGCATGTCTAGTTTAATGAAGAGAAGGACCAGGGGGGACAGGATAGCTGTGTTCCAATATCTCAGGGGCTGCCCCAAAGGAGAGGGAGTCAAGCTATTCTCCAAAGCATTTGAGGGCAGGAGAAGAAACGATGGATGGAAACGGATCAAGGAGAGAAGCAACCTGGAACTAAGGAGAAACTTCCTAACAGTGAGGACAATCAACCAGTGGAACACCTTGCCTTCAGAAGTTGTGAGTGCTCCATCACTGGAGGCTTTTAAGAAGAGATTGGAGTGCCATTTATCAGAAATACTATAGCGTCTCCTGCTTGAGCAGGGGATTGGACTAGAAGACCTTCAAAGTCCCTTCCAGCTCAAGGAGTAGACCTCTATTCTGATTCTGATCTGTCTCATAAACACCTCAGTGCACAAGAAACCTCAAACTTGCTCCATTCCTCAACACAACTGGGAAATTGCCCTCGCGAAATTATCCTCTAAATTTCACCAGAGGGCTAAAAAAAACAGTATTCTTACCCTAAATTTAAATAGAATCGTGTGAGTAGATGGAACTGACTTAAATTAAAAAAAACAAAACAACGGAAGTAGTTCTACCAGAAAAAGATCTACAATTCACACCGACAAAAAAATTGTTGACTCTTATGGAACCGAGTCTACATTCTTCCCAGAAGTGGGATGGGAATGTTGGCCCTTTTCAGAATCCACAACAAACGAAGGTCACAATGCAAAGTTCTGGCGGTTGGCTAGGAGACAGAGGTCTGAATCAAGGGTTCCTCAAGCTTGGAGACTTGAAGACTTATGGATTTCAACTCCCAGAATTCCTCAGCCAGGCTGAGGAATTCTGGGAGTTGAAGTCCAGAAGTCTTCAAGTTGTCATGGTTGAGGACCCCTGTTCTAAATAATAGAACAGAAGAACAGAATTAGAAGGAACTTTGGAGTTGACGACTATCTGTATATGTCAAGTGCTGAAATTTTGATCACATGACCCTGGGGATGTTGTGAGGATCGTAAGTTGTAAGTCTGCCAAAAGAGCCAGCACAGTGCTAGGCTGCATCAACAGAGGGAGAGAATCAAGATCACGTGAAGGGTTGATACCACTTTACAAGGCCTTGGTAAGGCCACACTTGGAATACTGCATCCAGTTTTGGTCACCGTGATGCAAAAAAGATATTGAGACTCTAGAAAGAGTACAGAGAAGAGCAACAAAGATGATTAGAGGACGAGGCTAAAACATATAAGGAACGGTTGCTGGAATTGGGGATGTCTAGTTAACTTTTATTTAAAAACTTAAACAATTTTTAAATAATTTTTTTTAATAATTGGAATTGATTTATAACTTATTGGTCATTCTTATTACACAGCTCACGAAAGCTCATCGCTTTTCAATGTCTTTTCAAATCAATGCAGAAACCTTTGCAGATTCAATAAATAGATCTTGACCTACACATGGATAGAATCAAGATCACATTAAGTGTTAATGCCACTTTGTAACACCTTGGTAAGGCCACACTTGGAATCCTGCATCCAGTTTTGGTCACCACGATGTAAAAAAAGACGTTGAGACTCTAGAAGGAGTACAGAGAAGAGCAACAAAGATGATCAGGGGACTGGAGGCTCAAACATATAAGGAACGGTTGCTGGAATTGGGTATGTCTAGTTTAATGAAGAGAAGGACGAGGGGGGACAGGATAGCAGTCTTCCAATATCTCAGGGGCTGCCCCAAAGAAGAGGGAGTCAAGCTATTCTCCAAAGTGCCTGAAGGCAGGACAAGAAGCAATGGAGGGAAACTGATCAAGGAGAGAAGCAACCTAGAACTAAGGAGAAACTTCCTGACAGTGAGAACAATTAATCAGTGGAACAACCTGCCTCCAGAAGCTGTGAATGCTCCAACACTGGAAGTCTTTAAGAAGAGACTGGACGGAAATTTGTCCGAAATGGTGTAGGGTTTCCTGCCTGAACAGGAGGTTGGACTAGATGACCTCCAAGTCCCTCCCAACTTTTATTATTATTATCATTATTATTATTATTTATTATGATGATGTCACTCTTTTCAGTGGCGTGGTAATTTTGAACGGAGACTGAATGAGCAGTTGAGGATTCCTGGATACTACTTGCAATCAAGAAGGGGTCCCTGTTCTTGTTTGACTTCTTGCCCTCATTTCTGCACCCAGGAAGATTTTTGGGGGGGGGGGAGGAAGGGAAGGTGTCACTCACCCAGTCGCCGGCGGGCTTCCTGGTCTTGCAAAAGCAAGGAAGGAGCCGGTCCTTCCGGCGTGGAGACGTGAAACTGGAGGAATGCTTTCTCATGCTCGGGAAAAGCCACCTCCGACGAGGCTGCAGAAACAAAGAGAAGGTTGGTTGGAAGAAGGGATGGAGAGATGCTGGACCTTCCTTGGTTTAGACCAGGGGTGGGGAATGAGGACCCCCCTTTAGGACTTCGGGACTTCAACTCCCAGAATTCCTGAGCCAGCAAGATGGATTAGAACAGGGGTGGGGAACGAGAGCCCCCTTTAGGAGTTGTGGACTTCAACTCCCAGATGGAGTTTCTCAATCATCCAGGAAGGAAAGGAAGATGAGGGGAAGGGAAGGAGGAAGGCAGGCAGGCAGGAAGGAAGGAAGGAAGATGAGAGGGAGAATGGAAGGAGGAGAGAAAAAGAAGAGAGGGAGAAAGGAAGGAAGGAGAGAGGGAGGGAGGGAGGAAGGAAAAAAGGAAAGGAGGAAAAAAGAGGCTTCACCATATCAACGGACACCCTACAGCTCAGATCTATTTTTTCCCTACGCAACGGAGTCCCCTGCCGCCGTCTCCTCCTCCTCCTCCCCCCCTCCTCAGATGGTCCTTTGTGGGAACAGAAGAAGCTCTTGACAAATGTGGTTACTCACCTGGGCAGTCACAAAGTGCCACTGCGGCGTAATAGTGGGAGAGAGCCTTGAAGTGTTCGGCTTTGACGTGCACCATGGAGGTCCAGGAGAAGGGCACGTAGTCTTTGACCTGGGGCTGGTCCATGGTCTGGTGCACCAAGGAGTAGACCTCTTCCACCTGGGGAGGCAAAGGGGAGGGGGGCAAGATGACGACGGGAAGCCCAAGGAGGCCAGAAAGAGGCCATCACCCTCCCTTGATGGCCACCAGGAGCACATCTGGCTGGGCTTCCACGGCCAGTGCAGGGCTTGGTGAATATCTGTAGCTGGGGTGAAGGAGGAGGGTGGAGGGTGGGTCACCTCAGGTGAGGGTCGCTGGGAGGTGACGTGATGGCTAGGGGGAGGGTTGAGTAGGCTGGCATTCCGCCAGCAATTCCATCCACAGACCCATCGACCTACAACCAGCCTACGAACCCCACAAAATTCAAATCAACCACACAGACAACCAGCGACAGCACCGGCCCTCAACCATCCCGCGCAATCCCCCACTTCCACCAGCACTTCACCTACCAAGGAGCCTTACCTGACGTGACCTCCCCATCACAAGATCCATCACCTCACGTAATGTGACCCATCACAAGACCCTCACCTGACGTGACCCTTACCTGATCCATCATAAGACCTTCACCTGTGACCAACACCTGACCCATCACTAGACCCTCACCTGACCCATCATAAGACCTTCACCTGTGACCAACACCTGACCCATCACTAGACCCTCACCTGACCCATCATAAGACCTTCACCTGTGATCCTCATCTGACCCATCACTAGACGCTCACCTGACATGACCCATTATAAGATCCTCACCTGACCCATCATAAGACCTTCATCTCTGACCCACACCTGACCCATCCCTAGACCTTCACCTGACCCATCACCTTCACCTGTGATCCTCATCTGACCCATCACTAGACCCTCACCTGACATGACCCATCACAAGACCCTCACCTATGATTCTCACCTGACCCATCACAAGACCACCTGATGTGACCCATCACTAGACCCTCACCTGTGACCCACACCTGACCCATCACTAGACTTCACCTGACCCATCATAAGACCTTCACCTGTGACCCACACCTGACCCATCATTAGACCCTTACCTGACGTGACCCATCACAAGACCCTCACCTGACCCATCATAAGACCTTCACCTCTGACCCACACCTGACCCATCACTAGACCCTCACCTGATGTGACCCATCACACCTAACATGACCCTCACCTGACCCATCACTAGACCCTCACCTGACGTGACCCACACCTGACCCATCACGAGACTTTTACCTATGACCCTCACCTGACCCATCACAAAACCCATCACAAGACCCTCATCTGATGTGACCCACACCTGACCCATAAGACCCTCACCTGTCATGATCCACCCCAAGACCCTCACCTCACGTGACCTCCCCATCACAGACCTACTCTCCACCCGAAGCCCTTATACGCAGGAGAACCCCAACAATGACATCCCCTGAACTCCGCTGAAGAGGTTTCCTAGCCTGTTCAACGCTACGTTCAGAAACCAGCCCACCAGCTCAGAGCGCGAACCTCCCCCCTCCCTGCGCAGGATCCCCTCTGGTGGGACCCCGATGCCTCCGCTCCCCCTGGCGCCCCCTTGCGCCGGGATGCCCTACCCGGGACGCCTCCTGGGCCAGCTGCAGGCAAGCGAGGAAGTCCCTCTGGGCTCCGAGCAACAGGACCTTCTCGAAGACGCACTCCTGCACCTGGGCGATCATCAGCCACACCAGCATGTTGAGGGAGGGGCTGCTCATGTCGAGGCTGGGGGCGTTGGAGAAGTTCTCCTTCAGGTAGTTGAAGGCGCCTGCACACGGAGCAAAAGGGCGGGCCTGAGATCAAGCACAGGGGAAGTCCTCGACTTACATCCACCGCGGAGCCCAACATTTCCTTTGCGAAGCCAGGCGGTTCTTAAGTGAGTTTCGCCCCATTTTTATGGCTTTTCTTGCTATAACTTGTTAGTAACCTGGTGGTTGAATGGCTTCCCCACTGATGGTCGCAAAAGGGGGTCACGTGACACACACACCTCCCGTCGGGACACTGCGACTGTCGTAAATACGAGCCCGTCGCCAAGTGTCTACATGGACAATGGTCGTACGTGCAGGAAAAACACGGTCGTTACCTTTTTTCAGAGCTGCTGTAACTTTGAACAGTCGCTAAACCGAACGGTCGTAAAGTCAAGGACTACCTGGAAGGGCCCCAACTCTAGGCCCCTTGAAGCAAGAGTCGATGCTATTGAACTCAATAGGACTGAGTCTTGAGTAGCCCAGCCAAGGATGGCTTCTCGAGTTGGCATGCGATTCGTTTTAGACCAGCGGTTCTCAACCTGTGGGTCGGGACCCCATTTGGGGTCGAATGACCATTTCACGGGGGTCGCCAAACAAGGCTGTCCGCCATTTTTCCCCCCTTTTCCTTAGCTGTGCTACTCCCTTTTATTCTATTGGCTTTTGAAAGCCAATAGAATAGACTCTCTTGAATAGAGTCTCATTCTATTGGCTTTCAAAAGCCAATAGGAATTGTCCAGGCTGTCTCTGCCCTGCTGAGCCTGCCAAAAGCCCCGTTCTGCAAACGGGGCTGCACCAGTTGAGTAGTCCTCGACTTACGATCGGTTGAGTAGTCCTCGACTTACAACCGGTTGGGGGTCGCGGCATTAAAAAGGTTGAGAACCACTGTTTTACGGGTTTAGTGGTCACAATAGTTAAGGAGGTCTAACTCGCCCCCAAATCTCCGCAGACGGGGCAGGCGAATATCTGGGAAAGGTCTTAAATTGGGAATAAGGAAGTTTATGAGGGAAGGGAGGAAGAGAGGAAGGAAGGAAGGGAGGGAGGCAGGGAGATGGGAAGGGGAAGGAAGGAAGGAAGGAAGGTGAGAGAGGAAGATGAGAAGGGGAAGGGAAGGAGGGAGGGAGATAGGAAGGGGAAGGAAGGAGGAAGGAAGGAAGGGGAGAAGGGGAGGGAGGAAGATGAGAAGGGAAAGGGAAGGAGGAAGGGAATGGGAAGAGGAAGGAAGGAAGGTGAAGGGAAGAAGATGAGAAGGGGAAGGGAGGGAGGGAGGGAGGAGGAAGGAAGATGAAGGGAAGAAGAAAGGGAGGGAGGAAGATGAGAAGGAGAAGGGAAGGAGGGAGGAAGAAAGGAAGGGGGAAGAAGAAGATGAAGGGAAGAAGAAAGGAAGGGGGAAAGGGAGGGAGGAAGATGAGGAGGGGAAGGAAGGAAGGCGAGACGAAGAAGGGAGAAAGAAAGGAGGGGAGGGAGGAAGATGAGAAGGGGAAGGAAAGAAGGTGAGAATGGGAAGGGAGAAAGAAAGGAGGGGAGGGAGGGAGATGAGAAGGGGAAAGGAAGGGAAAAAGGAAGGAATGGGAAGGAAGGAAGGGAGGGACGGAGAGGAGAAGAGGAAGGGAAAGGCTTGGATTTGCACTATGGGTTAAACTAAGCTCTACTAAGTTGGGGTGATTTGCAGTCTAGTGGGGAGCCCCACCATCGCCTTAGCCCAGGGCTCTGCAAGGCTCGGCCACTTGAAGACTGGTGGACTTCAACTCCCAGAATTCCCCAGCCAGCAAGGGAATTCTGGGAGTTGGGAGTCCAGAAGTCGTAAAGGGGCCCCATTTGGAAACCTCTGTCTTAGCAGGTTGGGGGAAATCAGAGGAGAGATTTCATTCAGCCAGGGAAAGGGTTTGTTTCCTGGGCACAAGGCGCTGATCGGTCGTCCTCGACTTACAACGGCGTGTTTCGTAGCCGTTCGAAGTTACAGCGGCGCCGGGAAAAAAGAGACGACCGCGTTGCAAGACTTCCCGCAGCCAGGTAACCCAAATTCAAGCACTGGGCACGTGTTTAGCGTGTCCTGGGATCGCGGGACCGCCGTCTGAGACCCAAGTGAGCTGCAACGAGGGCCTGATTCACTTAATAACCGTCGCAATTTGCTTCCCAAAGGGGGCCACAGTTGGGCACGACCCACGTAGAAAACCTCACTTGATGGCAGAAATTCCAAGTCGTTAAGTGGAGGGCTCTCAGAAGATGGAGATTGAGCTGCATCCTGGTAACCTCGGTGGAGAATCCCACGTCGCACGAATCCCACCTCAACGCTATCTCCGCCTAACTGTTCTGCCCCAGCCTACGTGAGTCCTTGTTACGCTCACATGGAGAAACCACTCTTCCAAGAAACAGGCAGGAACCCCAAGAAAAACCAACCCCCTTTTATTATTCACAGACCTGAGTCCATGTCCAAGGCAAACAAAACACAGTTCACAGAAACTCGATTCCTCAACACGAACGTGTCAATGCTGCAAATATTGTATATTCTTGCTTTGACAATATGCAAAACTGTCTGGTATTTACTGGGTTAATACATAGCTTAGAGTGGGGGGGTAAAAAGCCCGGGGAAAGAAAGAGGAAGTAAACTTTTGACCTTCACACTAATTGGATAATGTGACTTGGGACTGCAAGATAAGGGAGGGGTTTAGCAAGAAAAGTTTGATGCCAGCGAGAGGAAGTCAGATTCTGGTATCAAAACGTCTATGATGGTGACTGGCAATTTGTAGCTCTGTAATAAAGACTTTAGGAAACATGCCTGAAAGTTCTTTGAAGTGCTTCATTAGTTGGAACCCATGACAGAACGGTTGTCTTCGGCCACCAGCACCTCCCACACCTTTCCTTTTATTATGCAGCCCAGGTGTGGCTTCCTAATGCCGTCTCCTTTGCCTTTGCAGCCGTCCCATTGTATTCCTCTGTCCTACTCACTTCTCTTGCCTGCGCCTTCGTGCATCCGGGATTTGTCCCAGCTGTTCTTCATCACTGTCCAACTCAGACTCCCAGCACAGCCGTGTCTCAGCCTGAGCGCAAGTAGAGGGGCCGGGCTCCTCGTCCGACTGTAAATCTTGGAGCTCCTCAGAGCCTTCCTCTGACTCTGATGTCACTCCAGGCCCCTCCTCCTCCTCAGACTCAGCTGCCGAGTCCACTGGCTGGCGAGGAATCACAACACTAATCCCTCCCTCCCCTAAATGGAAAGGTGGAATAGGCGCCGTACCAGAGGCCTTCTGGAAGGCTTCGATGGCGCAGTCCACCCCCTGCAGGGTGGTGCGGTCCTGGCGGGCTGCGATCTGGGTGTGCAGAGCACCGATGTTGAAGAGCACGCTTCCTTTCTCGAAAGCCAGGGCCCGCTGGTGGGAAGGCACCCCGGTCAGTGAATCGTACCTGCAAAGGGTTAGAGCAGAGCGGTAAAACCACACGGCACTGGAGAGGCAAGGCTCCAGCTAGATCACCGTTTTAGGGAAAGGGTCCAATAAAAGAGAATATTTGTAGCTGGAGGTCGAACTGGGCGGGAGACTGGTGCTCACTGAGCTGGGTGGTTTTCTGGCAGACGTTTCGTGACCCAGCTAGGGAACATCATCAGTGCTAAAGAGAGTTGGGCTTGCAGGGAGGAGGAGGAAGAGGGGGAGGGGGAGGACTGTGGGGTCCTTGGTGCTCTCTGAGCTGGGTGGTTTTCTTGCAGATGTTTCATGACCCAACTAGGAAACATCATCAGTGCTAGAAGGGAATGGGGTGGGGGAGAGGAGGAGGAGGAAGAGGAGGACGACGACGACTGTGGGGTCCTTGCTACTCTCTGAGTTTGATGGGTTCCCTTGCAGATGTCTTGTGACCCAACTAGGTAACACTGTCAGTGCTGGAAGGTGTAAACTCCTCTCCTTTTTAGCACTGATGATGTTCCCTAGTCGGGTCATGAAATGTCTGCAAGAAAACCACCAAGCTCAGAGAGCATCAAGGACCCCACAGTCGTCCTCCAGCTCCTCCCCCCCTTCCTCTCCTTCCCCCACTTCTCCACAAACCCCTCTCCCTTCTAGCACTGATGACGTTCCCTAGTTGGGTCATGAAACGTCTGCAAGAAAACCATGAAGCTCAGAGAGCACCCAGGACCCCCCAGTTCAATCCCGAGTTACAATGATTCTCTTCTGTTGATTCTCTGCTCCACCAGGTTGAAAAGGCCCACTGACCAATGGAAGAAAAGTCCCAGGTTGTTACTGGGCGAGACGAAGCGGTTGTCGAGGAAGTGGAGCTGGCTGTAATATTCCGTCAGCAGTTCAAGTCCCGCTTTGTTCCGGCTGGGTGCCCGCATGGCCTGTTGGGGACACAAGTTGGGAGAAAGACACAAGAGCCATGAACAACACAGAGTGGGAAGGGGCTAGCCCAGCCCCCTGCTCAGGCAGGAGACCCTTGCAGAATAACAGAGCTGGAAGGGACCTTGGAGGTCATCTAGTCCAGCCCCCTGCTCAAGCACGAGACCCTTGCAGAATAGCAGAGCTGGAAGGGACCCTGGAGGTCCTCTAGTCCAGCCCCCTGCTCAGGCAGGAGACCCTTGCAGAATAACAGAGCTGGAAGGGACCCTGGAGGTCCTCTAGTCCAGCCCCCTGTTCAGGCATGAGACCCTTATAGAACAACAGAGCTGGAAGGGACCTTGGAGGTCATCTAGTCCAGCCCCCTGCTCAAGCACGAGACCCTTGCAGAATAGCAGAGCTGGAAGGGACCCTGGAGGTCCTCTAGTCCAGCCCCCTGCTCAGGCAGGAGACCCTTGCAGAATAACAGAGCTGGAAGGGACCTTGGAGGTCATCTAGTCAGCCCCCTGCTCAGGCAGGAGACCCTTGCAGAATAACAGAGCTGGAAGGGACCTTGGAGGTCATCTAGTCCAGCCCCCTGCTCAAGCACGAGACCTGTCAGAATAGCAGAGCACCTGGAGTCTCTAGTACAGCCCCTGCTCAGGCAGGAGACCCTTGCAGAGAGCTGGAAGGGACTGGAGGTCTCTAGTCCAGCCCCCTGCTCAGGCAGGAGACCCTTGCAGAATAACAGAGCTGGAAGGGACCTTGGAGGTCATCTAGTCCAGCCCCCTGCTCAAGCACGAGACCCTTGCAGAATAGCAGAGCTGGAAGGGACCCTGGAGGTCCTCTAGTCCAGCCCCCTGCTCAGGCAGGAGACCCTTGCAGAATAACAGAGCTGGAAGGGACCCTGGAGGTCCTCTAGTCCAGCCCCCTGTTCAGGCATGAGACCCTTATAGAACAACAGAGCTGGAAGGGACCTTGGAGGTCATCTAGTCCAGCCCCCTGCTCAAGCACGAGACCCTTGCAGAATAGCAGAGCTGGAAGGGACCCTGGAGGTCCTCTAGTCCAGCCCCCTGCTCAGGCAGGAGACCCTTGCAGAATAACAGAGCTGGAAGGGACCTTGGAGGTCATCTAGTCCAGCCCCCTGCTCAAGCACGAGACCCTTGCAGAATAGCAGAGCTGGAAGGGACCCTGGAGGTCCTCTAGTCCAGCCCCCTGCTCAGGCCGGAGACCCTTGCAGAATATACAGAGCTGGAAGGGACCTTGGAGGTAATATAGTCACAGACCCCTGCTCAAGCACGAGACCTGCAGAATCAGCAGAGCTGGAAGGGACACTGGAGGTCCTAAGCCAGCCCTTTGTCTTCAGGGCAGGAGACCCTGCAGAATAACGGTGGAAGGGACTTGGAGGTAATATACGTCCAGCCCCCCATGCTCAAGCACGAGACCCTTGCAGAATAGCACAGAGCTGGAAAGGGACCTGGAGGTCCTTGTCCAGCACCCTGCTCAGGCAGGAGACACTCAGAATAACAGAGCTGCGAGGGACCTTGGAGGTCATCTAGCCAGCCCCCTGCTCAGGCAGGAGACCCTTGCAGAATAACCGAGCTGGAAGGGACCTTGGAGGTCATCTAGTCCAGCCCCCTGCTCAAGCACGAGACCCTTGCAGAATAGCAGAGCTGGAAGGGACCCTGGAGGTCCTCTAGTCCAGCCCCCTGCTCAGGCAGGAGACCCTTGCAGAATAACAGAGCTGGAAGGGACCCTGGAGGTCCTCTAGTCCAGCCCCCTGTTCAGGCATGAGACCCTTATAGAACAACAGAGCTGGAAGGGACCTTGGAGGTCATCTAGTCCAGCCCCCTGCTCAAGCACGAGACCCTTGCAGAATAGCAGAGCTGGAAGGGACCCTGGAGGTCCTCTAGTCCAGCCCCCTGCTCAGGCAGGAGACCCTTGCAGAATAACAGAGCTGGAAGGGACCGTGGAGGTCATCTAGTCCAGCCCCCTGCTCAAGCACGAGACCCTTGCAGAATAGCAGAGCTGGAAGGGACCCTGGAGGTCCTCTAGTCCAGCCCCCTGCTCAGGCAGGAGACCCTTGCAGAATAACAGAGCTGGAAGGGACCTTGGAGGTCCTCTAGTCCAGCCCCCTGTTCAGGCATGAGACCCTTATAGAACAAAAGAGCTGGAAGGGGCCTTGGAGGTCCACTAGTCCAGCCCCCTGCTCAGGCAGGAGACCCTTGTAGAATAACAGAGCTGGAAGGGACCCTGGAGGTCCTCTAGTCCAGCCCCCTGCTCAGGCAGGAGACCCTTGCAGAACAACAGAGCTGGAAGGGGCCTTGGAGGTCCTCTAGTCCAACCCCCTGTTCAGGCATGAGACCCTTATAGAACAACAGAGCTGGAAGGGGCCTTGGAGGTCCACTAGTCCAGCCCCCTGCTCAGGCAGGAGACCCTTGTAGAATAACAGAGCTGGAAGGGACCCTGGAGGTCCTCTAGTCCAGCCCCCTGCTCAGGCAGGAGACCCTTGCAGAACAACAGAGCTGGAAGGGGCCTTGGAGGTCCTCTAGTCCAACCCGCTGCTCAAGCAGAAAACACAAAATACAGGTAGTCCTCAACTTTCGACCCCAATCCAAAGTGTATGTCGTTAAGTGGGCTTTGCCCCATTTTATGACTTTTCTGGTGAAGGGAACGGCTGCAGTTGTTAAGTTAGTAAGTAACCCTAGTTGTTAAATGAATCTGGCGTCTCCCCCACGGACTTTGCTCAGTCAAACGGCCGCAAAAAAAGGGATCGCGTGACCCCGGGGGACACTGCGACCGTCGTAAGTGTGAGTCACTTGTCATCTGAATGTAAATCACGTGATCCTGGGGAATGGTACGACGTCGTAAGTGTGAAAGTGGTCGTTGATCCCTTTTTTTCCCCAGCGCCGTTGTAAGTTTGAACGGTCACTAAACAAACCGTGGTTAAGTCGAGGACTACCTGTACACACCCAGGCCAGGCGCCTTTGCCCCCCAACGCCTCTTCCTCGAAGATCACACCTACCTGGCGTAAATCTACAAGGGCTTTCAGCTCCTCCTTGTAGGAGTCTTCCTCTTCGTTGTAGTGGTCTTTAATCACGGCCTGGAGTTGTGTAGAAAATAACACACTTTAGTCTGTCCTCGCCTGAAAGTCCCACTTTCAAGGTCACCTTAAAGTCCTCCGAAATCAAGCTGTCGAAGGACAGGCGGTCCTCGGCTTACGACCGCAGTGCCATTTCTGTCGGTAAGCGAGACGTTGGCTAAACAAGTTTTGTCCCATTTTGGGATCTTTCTCGCCAGAGTCGTTAAGCGAACCCTGGCAGCCGATCACCCCGTCGTTAAGCGAATCTGGCTTCCCCACCAGCTTTGCCTGCCGAAAGGTCACAAAACAGGAATCGCCTGGCCCAAGGACGCTGCAACCGTCATAAACACGAGTCGGTTGCCAAACGTCCCAATTTTGATCGCAAGTCGCCACTGTGAAAAACGATCCGAAGCGGCTTTGTTTTCCCTCAGTGCCGTCGTAACTCTGAACGGTCACTAAATGAAACCGTTGGTAAGTTGAGGGCTCCCTGTAAATAACTGATGTAGGAATATTTCATCCACATCTAAGAGACCTACAGGTCAGTCCCTGACTTACGACTGTCCATTTAGCAATTGTGCCAACTTAGGTTAGTGCTGAAAAATGGCGACTGACAGCGCGTCCTCATATTTACGGCCGCGGCAGCGTCCCCACGGCCCTGGGATCGAAATTCTGGACAAACGGCGTGTATTCGCCACGGTGGCAGGGTCCTGGGTTCAAGTGAAGCCACTTACGACCCTGCCAGCCAGCTTCCGACAAACAAAAAGCTAGTAACACGGTCGTTAAGTGAATCTGTGAAAAGTTCGCAAAACACGACTCCATGGTGCTGCGACCGTCGTAAGTGTGAGCCAGTTGCAAAGCATCTGAATTTTGATCAGGGGACCACGGCGATGCTGCAACGGTCGTTATGTGTGAAAAATGGGTCCTAATTCGCTTTTTCCAGTGCCGTCGTAACTTTGAACGGTCACTAAATGAACCGTGGCAAGTCGGGGGCTACGTGTAAAACAGCTTCCCTCAATTCTCAATCGATCTCAGTTTTTAGGAAATTGGAAATTACCTTCAGAGGAGATGCCCAGTCCAGTTCCTTGGTCTCCTTCAACCCCAGCGGGATCATTGGGACGCTAACTGAGTCACTGGGAGAGAGAGAGAGAGAGAGAGAGAGAAAGTCCAATTACATGTGATCCTCAACTTAAAACAGTTCATTTAGTGACTGTTCAAAATTGTAACAGTACTAAAAAAAAAGTGGCTTACGACTGCTTTTCACACGACCGTCACAGCATTCCTAAAGTCACGTGATCAAAATTCAGCCACTTGGCCACTGACTCATATTTACGACCGTTGCCGTGTCTCCGGGGGTCACGTGATCAAAACTCAGCCACTTGGCAACTGACTCATGTTTACAACGGTCGCCGCGACCCCAGGGTCATATGATCAAAACTCAGCCACTTGGCAACTGACTCATGTTTACGACGGTCGCCGCGACCCCGGGGTCACATGATCAAAACTCAGCCACTTGGCGACTGACTCTTATTTACGACAGTTGCTGCGTCTCCGGGGGTCACATGATCAAAACTCAGCCACTTGGCAACTGACTCATATTTACGACGGTCGCCATGTCTCTGGGGGTCCCGTGATCAAAACTCAGCCACTTGGCAACTGACTCATATTTACGACGGTCGCCGCATCCCCGGGGTCACGTGATCAAAATTCAGACTCTGCATGCTCTGACCGAATGTTTGGACGTAGCAGAGGGCAACTGCATTTTCCTTTTTCCCGGACGGTCCACCTCCGGAACTTTCCCCTCCCCAAACGGACAGGTGCCAATCATCTCTAACCTGTCATTCTGGTAGACTTCCACGCAGCTGTTCAGTTCTTCCAGTTCCTCCTTGAGCAGCTGCAGGTTGGAGTTGACATAGCTGAGTTCCAGAGCAACTGTCTCCTTGACTTTGTGGTTGCGGGTGGCCCTGAGACCAAAGAAAAAAGAGGAGGGGAAAAAAAATGATTTATACCTCTTCTCTACAGCCAGTCCTCGACTTACGATGGTTCGCTTAGTGATATTCAAAGTCACAACGGCATGGAACAAAGTGACATAGGACAGGGCTTTTCAACCTTTTCACCCATTGTACCCCTTTTAGGATATGGCGACATCTGAGGACCACCAGCAAGGTGTCAAAAACTTGACGACCCCCCCCAAAAAAGGAAAAAAGTGATAAAGTACAGGTAGTCCTCGACTTACAACAGTTCGCTTAGTGACTGTTCAAAGTTACAGTGGTACTGAAAAAAGTGCCCCCCAAGCCACAGCCGAGCAAGACACCTGCCTGCCCACCTGGTGGCGCTCTTCCTCCTGTCCGAGGTTTTCATTGTTGTGAGCGTTTCTGCTGAGGATTGGCAGTAAGGGTGGGGTGAGGTTGTTTGTTTTTTATTCCCCCCCCCCGTCTGCTGATCTAGTCCAACCCCCTGCTCAGGTAGGAAACCCTTTTTTTGTATGTTTTAGTCTCCAGGCTTCTGAACATCTTCGTTGCTCTTCTCTGCACTTTTTCCAAAATCTCACCATCTTTTTTGTCATGTGCAAAAATATGATGTAATTTTTTTTGTAGTGCAAGGACTTATCAAAGTCTCTTTGCACTACGACGGTTGTAAGGGTGCTCCCCACGGTCCCGGGATCCCAATTTGGGTACTTGGCCACTGGCGTCATATCCAGCATCCCAGGGTCACGTCCCCAACGGGCAACTTTCCCAGCTGGCTTCTGATAAGGGGCAAGCTGCGTCCGCTTTAACAACCCAAGATTCCCTCTTCCCAATTCTAGACCTATGAACTACTTGCTTTTTTCCCCCCCCCCCCACTCTCTACCCCCTGGCAGCTTTGAACAGCTCATTAAATTAAGGGTGAGACCTCCTCCTCTAGCACCAGTGATGTGTCCCACCTGATACAATCTCAGCAATCTTGTTTGGACAGCTGTTGGGCTGGGAAACTGACATGCCCCAACACAGGAGCGTCACAGCCTGGTATGTGTCACACGAGGGGAAGGCACCCTGGAAACTGCAATTTGCAACGCTCGGCGTTTCCGTTCAGGCTGAGCCAAAGGAATCTGATTAAAGGCCAGGAGACTAAAACATATGAAGAACAGTTGCAGGATTTGGGTATGGCCAGTCTAGAGAAAAGGATGGGGGAAGAGAAAGTCTTCCAGTATTTGAGGAGGGGGTCAAACTATTCTCCAAAGCCCCTGAATGCAGGACAAGAAACAATGGTTGGAAACTGACCAAGGAGAGAAGCAATCTGGAATTAAGGAGAAACTTTCTAACAGTGAGGACAATTAATCAATGGAACAGCTTGCCACCAGAAGTTGTGGATGCTCCAACACTGGAGGCTTTTAAGAAGAGACTGGACAGCCATTTGTTCTGAACTGGAATAGGGTCTCTTACTTGAGCAGGGGGTTGGGCTAAATGACCTCCAAGGTCCCTTCCATCATCCTCATCCTCATCCTCATCTAGTCCAACCCCCTGCTCAGGCAGGAAACCCAATACTATTTCAGACAAATGGCTGTCCAGTTTCTTCTTAAAAACCTCCAGTGTTGGAGCATTCACCGCTTCTGGAGGCAGGTTGTTCCCCTGGTTAATTGTTCTAACTGTCAGGAAGTTTCTCCTTAGTTCCAGGTTGCTTCTCTCCTTGATGAGTTTCCATCTGTTGCTTCTTGTCCTGCTTTCAGGTGCTTTGGAGAATAGCTTGACTGCCTCTTCTTTGCGGCAGCCCCTGAGCTACTGGAACACTGCTATCATGTCTCCCCTCGTCCTTCTCTTCATTAAACTAGACATGCCCAATTCCAGCAGCCGTTCCTTGTATGTTTTAGCTTCCAGTCCCCTAATTATCCTTGTTGCTCTTCTCTGCACTCTTTCTAGAGTCTCAACATCTTTTTTACATCGTGGTGACCAAAACTGGGTGCAGTATTCCAGGTGTGGCCTTACCAAGGCCTTGTAAAGTGGTATTAACACTTCACCTGATCTTGATTCTATCCCTCTGTTAATGCAGCCCAGGACTGTGTTGGTTTTTTTGGCAGCTGCAGCACACAGCTGGCTCCTATTTAACTGTCAGAAATTGCACTGGTTGAGAATTTAGCACAATGGCAACGGATCTTGAAAAAGCCTTTAATGAAGACATTGATATAAACGGGGTGCACAGACCTCTCTAAAATGGACATTTTGAATGTTTTAAACTAACATCTCCCTCCTTTGGACTAGGTGGGTGTGGAAGCAGTCCTGCGCATTGCTGTGCATCTACAAATGTTTTTCTTCCCTCCCTTTTCTTAGTTTCTGAACACCAAGCAGCCACAAAATGCTGAGCATCAGACAGAAAAGAGGGTATGTGTGGGGGGTCCCCAGCTGGCTCTTTAATTAAAACTTTGCATACCACCTGCCTCAAAGTTGCTGCTTTTGGTTTTTCACTCTTCAAGCAAGCAAAACAATCCTTGTTTACGTCTTCTAGTGACTTGTCTTATTGCTGTGAACAGCATAATTCACAATCGCCTTTATGATGCTAATTTAGCCCACACAAACCTGAACAGATTCTCTGCGCCGGTTCTCATCCTCATCTCTTTGTTGATCTGCTGGTTGATTCTTGCACGGCGGTGTTGCAGCCTGGTGCGTTGGGTCTGGGCCAAGGAATCACAACCCTGACAAAAAAGAAATTAATAACAACAACAATAATAACAATGTCCCTGAAGGAGAGATAGATGCAAAGCTAACATGGTTGAGATCAAGGGTGCTGAAGAAAGAAACTGAAGGCTTCATTTTGGCTGCCCAAGAACAAGCAGACCTGCAGACCAATTCCATGAAAGCAAAAACTCAAAATGTCGGTAACAACAGCAACTATCACTTACACGATGAGAAAGCTGAAACAGGGGATTACTTTATCAGTGGCTGCAACCAAAAAAATCTCACAAACCGATTATCTATGACGTCATGATCAAGTTGCCAAAATCATAGCTCGCTTTGCTGCTGCAACTATTGCTTCTTAGCTTGCCAACGAATTGGGGGGGGGGGAGGATAGAGAATTGGAATGCAGGCTACAAAGATAAAGAAGGCAGACCATGAGAATCAAGGACGATTCACCAGATGCCTGACCCGACTCAGAGACATCTTCTCATAACAATATCATCGCACCGCATTGGGCAATGTGATCTGTTCGTGGAGGGGAGGGGAAATTCTATTTTTTTACTATAGGGGTTGGGGGTTGGGGTTTGCTAGAGCTGGTTTTGCTTTCATACATGCCAAAGTGATGTACTCAATAAAGTTTTATATTAAGAGATTGGAATGTCTCAAAGGTGTTTGCTTGGTTGGGTTCGTCGGTCGGAACCTTGACAGATGTTGTTATTGAAACTCTAGAAAGAGTACAGAGAAGAGCAACAAAGCTGATTAGGGGACTGGAGGCTAAAACATATGAGGAACGGTTGCTGGAATTGGGTATGTATAGTTTAATGAAGAGAAGGACGAGGGGGGACATGATAGCTGTCTTCCAGTAGCTCAGGGGCTGCCCCAAAGAGGGAATCAAGCTATTCTCCAAAGCGCTTGAAGGCAGGATAAAAGCAATGGGTGGAAACTAACCGAAGAGAGAAGCAACCTAGAACTAAGGAGAAACTTCCTGACAGTTAGAACAATTAACCAGTGGAACAACCTGCCTCCAGAAGCTGGCATTTTAAATAGCTTTCGGGAAAAGTGAACTTGAAGAAAAATGAGACTCAGCAAAGTTTTTGGAAAAGCAAAATAATCTCCCGCAGGAGCTCGATCTGTTCATATTTTAGAATGGGCTTTATCCCAGTTTCCTGTCCTTGTACCTTTGACCCTTGAGTTCTTGGCCGTTAGAGTGGAACAACCTGCCTCCAGAAGCGGTGAATGCTCCAACACTGGAAATTTTTAAACTGGACAGCCATTTGTCTGAAATGATATAGGGTTTCCTGCCTGAGCGGGGGGTTGGACTAGATGACCTCCAAGGTCTCTTACAACTTTATTATTATTATTATTATTATTATTATTATTATTTAGACATGAACCTCAATCAAGTGAACATTCAAAAAATAACAACAACAACAAAAACAACAATAATAATTATTACATACATTAGAATCTTTGCCAGAAGTTTGGGTTCGAATGCAGCCAAAATGACCGGGAACATCAAATGGACCAAAATTCTTGAAAATGAACAGGTCAAGATCCTGTGGGACTTTCGGATCCAAACAGAAAGAGGTCTGGCTCACAACGTGCCTGAGATCACAACTATGGAAAAGTGGGGAAAAGTCTGCAGTACCCAAAGCGCTGCCTAGATACATGGATATTTTGAATTGATTAAATCTGAATATCCTGACTTTGCTCAGATGCTACCTTAACAGCTCTTAAGTAAAAACTGCTAAGTTTTTACCAGTCCCAGACTGTGAATTGAACTGACGATTAAATGTTTAATAATAATAGTAGTAGTAGTAGTAGTAGTAGTAGTAGTAGTAATAATAATAATAATAATAATAATAATAATAATAATAATAATAGTAGTCTCCCTGTTAAAATGAGGGTTCTCCTTAGAGCTTGAAAAAGGCTGATCTTAAAGGCATAAATGAGGGTTGTTGTTTTTTTTAAGCACGTGAAATATTGGACTGATTTGCATATCTTACCAGCTGGATCTTCCAAGCACAAATTAAATTAAAAGCATGGGTAATATTTACCTGGCACCTTCCAGAGTTGTGTTAAGTGGTTCACACATACATTACGGTATTATTGCATCGCTGTTCATACAGCAGATGAAAACAAATGTATTTATTTATGCAGCGATCTTGCTAGGATGAATTGACTTTGCAAGACTTATTTTACATTTGGGAGCAAGATGCAAGGTCCTTTCCACCTTTAGGATATTTTCTTATAAATTTCCTTAAAATTTCAATGTTAACTTGCTCTCAGGGATCTAGAGTTTTGCAAACGGAACCACGTGTTGGGTTTCCAGCTTAATTTCTAGACCATGCATTCATATTTGACGGAAGTGGTGGGGGGAAAACCCCTAAAAATAAACCCCTACTTCAAATCAAAATTGAAGCTTTCTGTTGAAGTATTTCCATTAATAATTATCTATAATATAATATAAATAACGATGAAGAACAGCTGCAAGAATTGGGTATGGCCAGTCTAGAGAAAAGAAGGACTAGGGGAGATGTGATAGCAGTTTGAGGGTGTTACAGATCTCGTCGCAGGATGGAAGCAGTTCCTAGTAAGGCTGCCTTTTGCAATTGACTAATGGTGGATTTGTCAATGCCGATGATGGTGTTCAAGTGGTGCTCCAGTTGTTTTGGGATTGCACCCAAGGCGCCTATTACTATTGGTATTACCCTTGCTTGCTTTTGCCACAGTCTTTCTATTTCTATTTGTAGGTCTTTGTATTTTGTTATCTTCTCCAGTTCTCGTCTGTTCTGCTGTCTCCAGGCACTGCCACATCCACTATCCAGACTTTTTTGTCTTTCTTATCGACAATTTGTAAGTCCGGGGTGTTATGTTGCTGGTGCTTGTCTGTTTGAATTCTGAAGTCCCAGAGCAGTTTAATTTGATCATTTTCTATGACTTTCTCTATTTTATGATCCCACCAGTTCTTGCTTACAGGCAAATGATATTTTTTGCAGATCTTCCAATGCACCATTGTTGCTACTTTGTCATGCCGCTGCTTGTAATCAGTCTGTGCAATCTTCTTGCAACAGCTTACCAAGTGGTCCACTGTTTCTTCAGCTTCTTTGCATAGGCGGCACTTACTGTCTGTTGCTGTCTTCTCAATTTTGACTTTGTATGCATTTGTCCTTAAGGCTTGGTCTTGTGCAGCCAGAATTAGTCCCTCGGTCTCTTTCTTCAATTTTCCTGCTCTTAGCCATTGCCAGGTTTTATTATTATCTGCTTTCCCAGCTATTTTTTTCATGTATTGGCCATGTAGTGCTTTGTCTTCCCATGCCTCTATTCTGTTCTTCATTTGGTCTTTCTTGTAGGCCAGTTTGGTCTCTCCAGTAGTCAGTAAGCCTTCCTGATATACTAATTTCAGTGCACATTATTATTATTATTGTTATCGTTATCATCATCATCATCATCATCATCACTAAAAGCAAAGTGAGGGGCGATGCAGTTTCATTGTGAAATAATCCCACTGAAGTTTTAATTTTTCCAAAATTGGCCCAAGCTGACTCATCTTGGGGAGGGGGGGGGAGGGAACTGGCGTTGTTATTATTATAAGGAGAAACCATTCCAGTAAATGGTGAAATGAAAACTTTTTAAGTTTCTCCAGACGTGGGAAGAAAAGGCCCCTTTTGTGAGTGAGGGGTGAGTCAGCAACGTAGAGCACCCTCGGATGACCTCCAGAGAAAGCCTTCGTTCCTTCTGGGCCGGGACAAAGAATGAAACAGCCCCCCCCCCCCCCCCCACAGAGCCTTAGCAACGGAGAGTACAAGTATGTCCGAATTCCTTTAGGCTAGGGGCCTGCCCCCCCCTCCCCATTTTCTTTCACAAACTGGGGACAAAAAAAGGACAGGGCATTCCGTTCCGCTGAAGTCCCCCATGAAGGAACATCTGTAGCTCAGGGTTAAAATGGGGGGGGGGGTCCCTGGTGCTCTCTGAGCTTGGCTGTTTGGGGGGGAGGGAGGGAGGGGAGGGGAGGGGAGGGGAGGGGAAGGAGAGGAGAGCAAGAGAGAGGGCAGGGGAAAGGAGGTGAGGGGAGGGAAGGGAAAGAAAGGAAAGGAGGAAGGAAAGATGGAAAGGAAAGGAAAGGAAAGGAAAGGAAGAAGGGAAGAAGGAAAGGAAAGGAAAGGGAGAGGACAGGGGAAAGGAGGTGAGGAAAAGGGAGGGAAGGAAAGGAAAGGAGGAAGGAAAGAAGGAAAGGAAAGGAGGAAGGGAAGAAGGAAAGGAAAGGAAAGGAAGAGAGAGGACAGGGGAAAGGAGGTGAGGAAAAGGGAGGGAAGGAAAGGAGGAAGGAAAGAAGGAAAGGAAAGGAGGAAGGGAAGAAGGAAAGGAAGAGAGAGGGCAGGGGAAAGGAGGTGAGGAAAAGGGAGGGAAGGAAAGGAAAGGAGGAAAGAAAGAAGGAAAGGAAAATAGGAGGATAATTGTTGGGTCGTTGCTTTCGGGTTGGTGGTTTCCTTGCAGACATTTCATTACCCAACTAGGTAACAGCCTCAGCGCTAGTAGGGTTTGTGGGGAGGGGGAGGAGGGGGAGAGGAGGAGAAGGACTGTGGGGTCCTTGATGCTCTCTGAGCTTGGTAATTTTCTTACAGATGTTTTATTACCAAACTAGTAACACCATCAGTGCTGATCAGTAGGGTTGGGAGGGGGGAGGAGGAGGAGGAGGAGGAGGACGACGACAATGACAACTTTGGGGTCCTTGAAGCTCTCTGAGTTTGGTTGTTTCTTTGCAGACATTTTATTACCAAAGTAGTAGTAGTAGTAGTAGTAGTAGTAGTAGTAATAATAATAATAAAGTTGGAAGGGACCTTGGAGGGAACATCATCAGTGCTAGAAGCAGAAATACTACTGTTCTGTTCTACTTTCTATTCTATTCTATTCCTAATTCCATTCTATTCTATTCTATTCTATTCTATTCTATTCTACTCTATTCCTATTCTATTCTATTCTATTCTATTCTATTCTATTCTATTCTATTTCTATT